TTAGTTTCAGGGTGTTTATGTGCATGTGTGTGTTCTAGGATGCAGCAGACATCTTATCTCGTGGAACTCCAAGCCCGTCCGAGTCTTCCCAGTTGACCTCTGCTGTGTTGCCCACGGTTACGCTCTCAGCCGTACCTTCCGCCTCCATCTGGATTGTTCCAATCAGTGTGAAGATTGATGAGCTCCACCCCTACACTCCTTATGTGCTTGAAGTCTCCGCCTTCACCAGTGACGGGGAGGGACAGATCGCCAGCACTATGGTCCGCATGCCAGAGGCTGGTATGTTATCACACATACACACTCTTAATTCTCAAGTACTGTATATCTACACTACTGTTCACAAATTTGTCAGTAAGATTTTATGTATAATGCATTATAAAGATATCTATAGTGTATGTTGTAGTTCCTTTTATCTTGTCATAAATAATTGTAACCAAAGATAAAATGCCTTATAATATTTTCAGATTCTTAGTTACATCTGAAATTGGTCGTTTGTGATGTGTTTTTATGCATTATACTTCCTAAAGGTGTACAAATGAGTAGATAAGTATTACAACTGTGGTTACAGTTATTTATGAGATCATACAATGCATAGTATGGAACGATATTCCGGACAATTTTCAAATAGAATAGCAATTGCATTACAATGCATAATTAATGCGTTTTATATATACTACTTTTATAATACTTTTAGGATGCCTTATGTTTAAAGGCTTCACGTAATTTTGTTTTTAAAAAATGTTTTTATTCAGCAAAGATGCATTAAATGCATCAGAAGTTCTATAAAATATAGCATATAGCAAATATAGCATATATTAGCATATTATACTGATTTCTGAAGGATCATGTGACACTGAAGACTGGAGTAATGATGCTGAAAATTCAGCTTTGCATCACAGGAATAAATTACATTTAAAAATGTATTTAAAAAACCAACAAACAACCCAGTTATTTTAAATTGTATAATATTAATTCACAATAATTTATTTTCAATCAAATAAAAGCAGCCTTGGTGATCATAAAAAAATCTTACCGACCCCAAAATTTTGAACGGTAATTAAAATTCTAATTCTATTCAAAAGACTATTTACTTAAATAAATCTCTCTGATGTGTTTGTGCATGATCCATTAATACATGTTGTAAATGTGTTTTCATTATTTTTATAATAATATCTGGAATTATAGCAATAGAGCACATTACAGAAGTTAATTTCTGTTGCAAATGCCATTTTAATGTTGTCTTATCTAAATATCACAATTTTCACAGTAATCCATAATCTCAAGTTTCTGTAACTGATCAAAAATGTAAAAAAAGAATAATAATGTGTGTTGCAGCCCCTGAAGACCCTCCACAAAATGTAGTTTTCAGAAACATCACTTCTAAATCTCTATCTCTAACTTGGGATCCTCCAAAGATCATCACAGGACGGTTCAGTTACGTCATCCAGCTCCACAGCTCTGAAGGTAACACTTGCTAACACCCGTTGACCCGTTGACCCGTTACCTTTCATATTATCAGACAGACACCATACTGTTACAGGAACTTTATATAATATAAACCAGTGATATGAAGCTGTGTGGTCTTGCCTTTAGCACACATAATGCAAAGCACATCCTCTCATTGTTTGTTTGCTAATGTGGTGCATGTATGTGTGTATTTCAGAATTTATTAGTGAAAACGGCACAATCGAACAGGCGTTTATGTACACTGGACTGACTCCATACACACAATACTACATCCACGTGATGGCCAAATCAGCAGGGGCCACAGGACCGGCAGCAGTGATCAACATTACAACACTAGCAGAAGGTAAAATACATACACATTTGTGACCCCAGACCACAAAAGCAGTCTTAAGTTGCTGAGATATATTTTTAGCAATAGCCAAAAAAAGCATTATATGGGTCAAAATGATCAATTTTTCCCTTATGACTGGTTTTGTGGTCCACGGTCACATTTACTAACTACCTAATTGTGGCCTTACATTTTTGCATTTCTAATTTATTTTTATTTTATAATTGAGAATGTCCCCATATTTTCCAATAAGGGAGATTTTATCAGTTTTAGCCAACTTCTGAGGACAAATTTGTTTCTTTACTATAGATAGGTAAACCTATGACCTGCAAAATGCTATTTGCACCCTTACTGATTTTGTCTTTCGTGGTTTTTATTTGCCACAGTGGATGTTTCAAATCTTCAGACATTATGCCATATTAGATCAACTGAACCTGAGCGGGCAAAGCATATACTTCAGCTGATTTTGTTGATTAAAGACTATCAAATTGTAGTTAATTGTATGAAAATGTTATTGCCTCATATACACAATAAACAAATTTAGCAGTGCTGACTGCATTTTAAAGAAGCGCTGAATCATTTTAGATACTGCTGATGTGGAATCTTTTGTTTTTTCTCCCCATTTTCTTTCTGCATGACCTAGCTACACTTTAGTTGTGGTTCATGGATGAATTGCCACAAATTTGTCTTGTGTATTTTCCGCTACAGTGAAGAATTAATAGTTCCTTCAGACATGCAGGTTGCCATTACATGACCTCCACTATGATTGATCTTTGGTGTCATGTGTTTTCTCAAACTGTGGTTGTGTATGCTTGATGGTGACATATTGGGAGCCATGTCATACAAAACAATCCAATTTCTGATTCATCTGTTTGGAGAACAGAAGGCTCAGGGAATGTGTAAGTGTTTGCGACTTCTGTAAGTGTTCAGACTCGGGGGTCAAAATAAGTGAGAGCTATAAATGAGGTTTATATTTAACTGGTCTCGGTGTAATTAAGTCTGTCTGCGAAATCAGCTATCTCTAATTATACCTTTAATTGGGTTCATTTAGCTGGAGGAAATGACTTTTTAATACAGAGCCAGTTGGTGCTGAAAAAGAAAATGCTTATTAAATTCATGGAAAAACAAGAAAGGTTATTTGTTCACTTAGAGTTGCTTTTATCTAAAATTGGTTTTTGGTTCAAGACCTCAAAGCATCTGATGCTGGATATGTGTGATAAATAAAGGGTTGCATTTTTCTCAGCAATGGATTGTAGAAATGGGAAAATATATCAGCTGTTCCCAGTAATGGACATTAATAATCCAACCCTGACTTTACATGGAAATACACTACCGCTCAATAGATTTTTTTTAAAGAAATTAATTATTTCATTTAGCTAGGATGAACTAAATTGATCAAAAGTAACACTAAAGACATTTATTTTTAATATGTTGTTTATATTTTTTATTATGAAAAAATCGTTTGTGATTTAAAGCACTTTTTAATATATATTTTTTTACCTTTCGTTTTATTTTCAAGCATATTTTGTCTTATTTTAGGTAATTTGAAGTCGTCTTATGGTCCCCTTGGAACTGTGCTAAGGCCCCTGGTGGTATGGCAAAGTGTGTTGTTAACTGAATGTGTGTGCATTTATTTCCCTGTTAGCCCCGAGTGCTGTGTCTCATCTGACAGCAGAGGCTGTGGACTCTACGTCGGTCCGTCTGTCCTGGAGACCCCCGAGCCAACCGAACGGACTGATCACACACTATCGGATTCTAGTGTTATACCGCAATACTCTTGTACAGGACATCACCCTGCGAGAACAGGTAAAACACACTAAACTTCACAAACACATACACAATCACAGTATTTTATTTGGTTCAGCTTTACTGATTATATGTCATTGTGTTACAGAACGCTCCACTTCGTCGTAATGCGAGGTCACTTGACATCACCACAGCATCTGCATTCACTCTCACCTCACACGGAACATTTCCCACTTTGGGTCGTGATTTTTCCAACACTGATATGGAACTGACCTCTGACCTTCCCCTGACCCCGAGCACCCCCCACACACCTCCACCCTGGCTCACAGTGACCCATGACAGAACCACTGCATCTGTTCAGGCTGAGACTGAGGCTGTAACCGAGGAGCCTTTGACTGAACTTTCAGCTCTCACTCGAGGAACTGAACAACCACCATTGGTTAACTTAAGCCCCTCCCAGCCCCGTCGCTCCACTAGGGCGGTGGCCACAGACTCCACCCAGCAGCAGGTGAACCCACCAACAAGAGCTGCCACCACTATTGGAATAGAGGGTAAATAGCTCCTCCCCCTGACTCCACCCATTATGACCTCTTTCACATTTCAAGGTTGTTGTGATTTGGATAACTAATATTACTGTTAAAAGCACAACCAAAATAACAACTAAGTTAACATACTAGGTTTCCGTAAGTAAAAATACGATTTAAAATCTATTTATTTTTTAGCAACATGTATAAACCTTTCAAAACAGACCTACTTTACTCCGTGTTAAGATTATTTATATACTATTATAGTGTCTATTAATATTTTGAATGAGCTTTTATTTTTTTTAATTAGCTTTTATTTTTATATTTTCAGTTTTCATTTTAATTTTAGTTTAAATAGTAATTTTATGTACTCTCATCATTTGTATTAGTTTAATTTGATGTATTTTTTTTCCAGATTTGTTCTAATTACCAAAAATTATTTTGGTAATTAAATCTGTGTGTGTGTGTGTGTGTGTGTTTTCCCCGTTTATTCCCCTACTCATAATCCTAAAGATTAATCCATCAATCACAATCAATGTCACTGTGAAAACTGGTTGAAATTGGTGAAAAGAGCAACTTTGACCTGTATTTTTATATACATTTTTTATATAAAAATATTTTATATTCATATAGTTTTATTTTTATTTACATTTTATATAAAATATAGGTATTTTATATAAATCTGATTTTTTTTTAATTAATTTGAAGTATTTTATGCTTAGTCCTTACAGTAGTCCATGACTTATAGTCAATAGTTTTATATTGTACCATCATTTTTTTTATTTCATTGCTTCATAGTGCTTCATGGGAAGCATTTTCTCAAAGAATTTTGTAAATAAAAAATACTTTTTTGTAAAGTTTTTTAATGTTGTTGTGGTAGTTCAAAGCTTTTTTAAAATACCAATGGAGAAAATTATTGGAAAAATTACTTTATCATGGGTGCTGAAAAGGTGGGCAGTCATTGTTGCGCTCTGTTGCTTGTGCTTTCTGTTTTCTGATTGGTTGTGCCTTTTGATTGACAGTCCTACCAGCCACTGAGGAGACAGCAGACTTGTCCTCTGATCACATCATGTATGTGGTCAGAAGACTGAGTCCTTTCACTAAGTACACATTTAGTGTGACAGCAAAAAACATCATTGGAGAAGGACCTGCCACAGAAGTTACAGTGAAAACAACTGAACAGGGTAAAATACCCTTAGACTTCTGAGTTGAAGAACAGTAGTTATAACTTACGACCACTGTATAAAGTAACCCCAGTGTTTCTCCACAGTGCCCAGCTCTGTTCAGAATGTGTCCTATCAGAACCTGACCTCCACTTCTATCCGTGTTACTTGGGAGCCACCGCTCAACCCTAATGGCAAGATAACTCACTACACTGTGTATGCAGAAAATCTCCTTACAAATCAGCAATTACAAAAGATGACAGACACCACCACCGCAGTGCTCACAGGTAACACACTAATAAGTACACTGCCAAGGATGCATTAAACTGATCAAACGTGATAGTAAAGACATTTATAATGTTATGAAAGATTTATATTTCAAATCAATTTTGTTCTTTTGAACTTTCTATGCATCAAAGAATCCTGAAAAAATGGTCCATCAAGGTTTCCACAAAAATATTAAGCAGTACAACTGTTTTCATCATCGATAATAATGTTTTTAAGAAATGTTTCTTGAGCAACAAATCAGCATATTAGAATGATTTCTGAAGGATCTTGTGACACTGAAGACTGGAGTAATGATGCTGGAAATTCAACTTTGCATCGCAGGAATAAATTACATTTTAAAATATAGTAAGTTAGAGAACAGTTATTTTAAATTGTAATAATATTTTGCAATATTACTTAATTTTCTGTATTTTTGATCAAATAAATGCAGCCTTGGTGAGCACAAGAGACTTCTTTCAAGAACATTTAAAAATCTAACTCAAAACTTTTGAGAAGGGTCTAGCTGCTCAACATTTTACAACAGTAGCCAGGTGGTGAAGACAAGAAAAAAGAAACTAAATTACGAAGTCACTTGCAATCGCCACTTGCACTCTCCGCTACCTGCGACGTCACTTGCAATCGACACAAATCAAGCGTGTTGCCAATGGAGACAAGACACTGTGGTGATTAAACGATTACATCTAATTTAGTACTATAACATACAGGATCCTGCAAGAAAAAGACAAGAACAGAAAATCCGTCGCCACAGAACAGCAGGATATGAATGCAATGTGCAAAGTCTCTCGTTAAGCGTTTTCCTCCTGTAGAAAAACATAAGCACTTAACATGGCTTAATGTGTTAAGATGCTATTAAAATATCAAATTAAATATACAATTTATTAATATAATGAATATGTATATAGTATTTTCCTCATGTGGCATAATGGACTAAAAAGGCCAAACTCAATATGCTCCTCTACATTATTAATATACATAACTAATATACAGGCAAGCAGGTGAGCCTAGAATAAATGCAACACGCACAGTTACGCGTTAAGCGTTTTTCCATATAGAATAAACTGTCTACAGCTCTTTTATATCATTGTCTTTGTCCATTAAGGTACATTACGTGTTTATAATGATTTTCTATAGGAGGAAAATATTTAACGCATTGTATTCTGGGCTCGTCTGCTTGCCTGTACGGAGCTGATCCGTTTAAAATCACAATGCATTTCAAAATGCACGTTCATAATTGCTGTTCTGTATATACTTTGAGTCAACAACAAGACATATAGGCTACTGTATTGTCTTTATCATAGTCCGTTATTATGCCACATTAAGCGTTTTGCTGTATGGGAGGATAAGGGAAAGTTTGCGCATTGTGTTCATAGCCATCTGTTTGCCTTGTAGTACATTAAATAATAACTATATATCGAATTTGATCTTTTAATTGAACTTAATGTATCTTAATACATTAAGCCATGTTAAGTGTTTATGTTTTTCTACAGGAGGAAAACACTTAACGAGAGACTTTGTGCATTGCGTTCATATTCTGCTGTTCTGTGGTGACGGATTTGCTGTTCTTGTCTTTTTCTTGCAGGATCCTGTATGTTATAGTACCAAATTAGATGTAATCGTTTAATCACCACAGTGTCTTGTCTCCATTGGCAACACGCTTGATTTGTGTCGATTGCAAGTGACGTCGCAGGTAGCGGAGAGTGCAAGTGGCGATTGCAAGTGACTTCGTAATTTAGTTTCTTTTTTCTTGTCTTCACCACCTGGCTACTGTTGTAAAATATTGAGAGATTCAAACAAAAAGTAATCAATAAATAGAACAAAATAAAAAAAATAAAAGACTGCAAGTGTCTGAGAATGCAAGCCTGAGAATGCACGTCTGAGAGTGCAAGTGCAAGGCTGCAGCCAGACCCTCTTGAAACTTTTGAATGACTTTTGAATTGTAGATAATTGACTGGTCATTTTATGATAGGAAAATAGAATCAAAAGATACTTTGATGCCAAAAAGGATTTAGGCACTTATGCCACACCTGTTTGAACTTCATGCATCCACTAAAAATCAGCAACACCAAAGATACTGAGCATAAATGACAAAAAAGGGAATTTCTGAGAAAAGCGGTTGCTTTTGTTTGCAGATTCATCCTGCTTTAATATTTCATATCTAATGCAAGGACATCCAGACATTTTTAAGTGTGACCCAAGTGTTTAATAGTTTTTGAGGATGCCATATAACACTATATATGCTTATATCCACAGATCTGGACAAGTACAGCAGTTATAAGGTACGAGTGGCAGCGTCCACCGCCATTGGGGAAACTCCATTGACCGATGAAGACTACATCTTCGTTATGACACTAGAGGATGGTATTGAGCCAGTTATGTGTCATATACATACAGAAGCACCCTTAAACACTTCTGAAATCTCTTAGCATGCCTCCATCTGTCTTTCAGAGCCGGATTCACCCCCGCTGGATCTGGCCGTAGTGAAAACCACCTCCTCCACCGCTACACTCACCTGGTCTCCGCCAGAGAAACCCAACGGCATCATCCGCCTGTATGAGGTCTCCTACACCAACGGCACATACAGCAACACAGTCAACAGCACATCGCCCAGCGCCACACTGCGCTACATGAAGCCGTACACACATTACAATGTGACTGTCAGTGCGTTTACGCTATACGGACACGGCAACCAGATTTCTGATACTCTACAGATGCTGTCGGGGGAGGATGGTGAGTCATTGTGTGTGTGTGTGTGTTCATGTTTAATTGAAAAACTAGGAGAGGCTTAAAACTTTAATCCAGTCTCATCCTGAAATCCCACGCAATTAAGGCGCATTCACACATACAGTGATTAAAGTCTTGGTACTGTTTGATTTCTAGTAGACATTCCTATTCCAAGTCTAATCAAGGCATTAAAACATGTGAACTCTTGTGTCTTTACCCCAGATGCATTGCGTCTCTACTCAGTTTGCATGAAGTTGAATGTAAATCACCAACTCTTATTAATAAAGATGAATGTCTTTTGGACGCTTTGTTGCAGCAAACTTTTTTTTAATACTTTTAATCAGTAAGAACACATTACATTTATCAAAAGTCTTTTGAACGTTCTTTTCATCAGAGAATTCTTAAAAAGCATCACAGTTTGCGCTAGAATTCTTTCTTTCTTGAGCAGCAAATCGGCATATTAGAATGATTTATCAAGGATCGTGTGACACTGAAGACTGGAGTAATTCAGCTTTGCATCACAGAATTTTTTTTTAACATTTTCAAATATTTTCAAATAGAAAATAGCTATTTTAAATATTTCGCATTATTCCTGTTTTTACTATATTTCTGATCAAATAAATGCATCCTTGGTGGGGCATAACTTCTTTCAGAACCATTCAAAAAATCTTACCGACCTGAAACTCCTTAATGTTAGTGTATGAATACACCTTCATTCATAAAATCCCACATCCCAGCACACATGTTGAGCCATGGTGCCTGTCCTCTTTGTACTGTTCATTATGTTAATAAAAATTCAAGAACACCATAAAACAGGACAAATAAGGGCAATGGCCTAGTGTTTAGTGCATGAGCTCCAGCATGTTGAGTTAAGGTGCTTATATTTCCTTCTTTTTATGTGGGAAGCGCAGATTCTAATCTCATTCCCCCTCTGTACTGTTTCAAAAATAATTTTAATTCATTAAAAAGCCCACTTCATGTTCTAATATTATTAATCACATGAGCGAGAGGACTGTTTTATCGCATATCAGCAATCGCAGGCTGATATAATTTTTGCACCAAGCACACCGACCTCATCCTAATGTGCAGTTTAATTGTTTGTTTCAGTGCCTGGCAGCCCACCTTACGATTTGACCTATGAGGACATTGGATCCAGCGAGGTCAACGTGTCATGGTCGCCCCCGCTTCTTGCTAACGGCATCATCCTCTTCTACAATGTGGAATACTGGAATGCCACACACAGTCTGAACCAAACCACACATGTGCCTTATGTCACCCTGTCCAACCTGCGAAAGTATGCGCGCTACCGCATCAGCGTGCAGGCTGCCACACAGGTCGGCATGGGCAACCACACGAGCGAGATCCTGAACATCACCACACTGGAGGATGGTGAGTGATCGGTTTTAACAAACGGACCTGTTTCTCCTTTTTAGTGTCAGTCTTCAAGGTGAATGTGTCTGTATCTGGCTAAAGATGCAGAAAGAATCAAGGCCACACAGTAAACACTTCTTCTTTTTACAGCTTTTCAGTGGTCTGCGTGCAGGAATTGGGAGTGTTTTATTATTGTTTAACTATTTTTATTTCTCCCACAGGACATTTCTGAAAGCAGTCTGGGAGTTTTATACAGTGTCATGGATAAATTCTGCCTTTAAACCAAGTTTATTCTTTCTACCTCAGGAGACAGAACCTTGTTTCTCTGTGTTTGGTTGGTTAGTTTTTCTATTAGCAGCTGCCAGGATGGACTAATGCGGATGCCGCTCATGGCATGGGAGACATTCTCTTACATTTACTAACTCAAATCACTGTCACGTTCGAGAGTTAAGTACTTTTCCACAGTTTTGGGTTAATAATAGCTGTTTTTCCTAAACGACACAGTACCCAGTTCTTCTCCAAAATTCCTAATCGCCAGGAAATTGAATGATACTGAGGTAGAGTTGTCCTGGAAACCTCCCGAAGAGGCCAACTCTGAGATTTTATACTACATAGTGAGAGTGTGGTAAGTGAAGATGATTTCAAATCAGTTTTTACCAAAGACCTGGCTGTTGTCGTACTAGATTGAAACTTACAATTGTGTGTGTGTGTGTGTGTGTGTGTGTGTGTGTGTGTATTAGGAATCTGAGCTCTGAGTTTGTCGCCAATGTGACGAAGACGTCAGTGGTGGTGAGTGTGGATGGACTGGGTCAATACAATGCCTCCGTGAGCAGCTGGACTCGACTCGGAGATGGAGGAATGCTGATTTACATCACATTCAGTACCATAGAATCAGGTAAACACAAACACATTCTGTTCCAAACCACCTAGACAACACTTTATAGCAGCATCGCAAGTATCCTAGAATGAACTGTGAAAACATTTGGAGATGAGGGAAATATCAGATGTACATAAGTAAATTACATTACAGTAATTACATCTTAAAATATGTTCAAATAAAAAACAGTTTCATTTAGCCTAGAGAGTGAGGCAGCTCACTAGGTTTTGTAAAAGAACCACAATATCATGAAACAGCATTGCCCTCATAGTCATTATAGTAAATCCTTTCTCTGTTTTGCAGCCCCCTCTGACCCTCCACAGAATGTGTCATACACACTCCTCACCACCACTACAGTGCGTCTCAGCTGGAGTCCTCCGAACGAACCCAACGGCGTCATCCAATACTACACAATCTACTACATCCACAATTATACAGAGTATTATCAGGTATATACTGTATACACTCATGCGTGCATGTTCAAAATGTACTCTTGTGATGTAAAGCTGGATTTTCAGTTTCATTACTCCAGTCTTCAGTGTCACATGATACTTCAGAAATCATTCTAATATACTGAAATATTTCTTCCACAAATATTTTTAGTTTTTATACATGTATTTTTTTCAGGATCTTTGATGAATAGAAAGTTCAAGAGAACAGCGTTTATTTGAAATAGAAATCTTTTGCAACAATATAAATGTCTTTACCGTCACTTTTAATCAATGTATTGCAAGCTTGCTAAATAAAAGTATTAATTTCTCTTTAAAAAAATCTTACTGACCCCAGACTTTTGAATGGTAGAATATGTTTTCTAATAGGCTAACTGGCTGTTGGCTGTTTAGCGCACACTGTAGTCTAACCACAATATACTGTAGATATGATTTGTTTTAGATATGAATTAGGATATTATTTATCTTTAAGGTAGTTTTTCTTGTGCTGATGTCCTAACTAGATACATTTGACAGGTTTTACTGTCATGATCAGTTGTGCAGAAAGAAATATGTAGCACAAAGTACCATGTTTTTTTTGAAAATGTACTATTTAATAGTATTCTTTGAAGTAGTTTGGACCGTGTAAATACATATCTTATCAAAGCATACATTTATAAATGAAATGTTTCATTAATTAAAAGGATTGTTCTTTATACAGCAAATGGGTGAATTTCAATCTCTGGGTCATATTTCACTCCCAAGATTTTAATTTTTTTTATTATATATTAAAATAAAATGAATAAATGTCACTTTATTTAAATAGAAATAGAAATGTTTATATAAATTGATAATTTTTTTTGCAATGATAATTATTGAAAAATAATGAATTTATTAATGATAAGTATTTTAATATATATCGATTTATTAATAAATTGAATTTTTGTGCTTTCTGACACAGTTAAGCCCACATCTGTACATGTAATGGTTTATTATATTATCATCTGATACTTTCATTTGTACCATGGAACCACCACAGTACTTTTTATAAAAGATTTAATATCTATACGAATAGCTAGACCAACTAAACACATATTAAACTCCGAATGAAATGCTGATTCAGTCGTGCAGTGAATGACCATGTTCTCTTTCTCTCTCTGTAGACGGTTTCGGGTTCAGAGCACTGGTGGGTGTTGTCTGATCTGAAGGCAGGACAGATTAATGATAAGTATTTTAATATATATCGATTTATTAATAAATTGAATTTTTGTGCTTTCTGACACAGTTAAGCCCACATCTGTACATGTAATGGTTTATTATATTATCATCTGATACTTTCATTTGTACCATGGAACCACCACAGTACTTTTTATAAAAGATTTAATATCTATACGAATAGCTAGACCAACTAAACACATATTAAACTCCGAATGAAATGCTGATTCAGTCGTGTAGTGAATGACCATGTTCTCTTTCTCTCTCTGTAGACGGTTTCGGGTTCAGAGCACTGGTGGGTGTTGTCTGATCTGAAGGCAGGACATGAATACAGTGTATGGATGAGTTCCAGCACTTCAGTTGGTGATGGGGGAGTGTTCAGTCCCCGTCTAAACTTCACCATGTTAGAGGACGGTCAGTCTCCTCACACGCTCAGGGGAGAAGCGCAGCTCTGCACCACTTTTCCAACAGATTACACTCCCAAAAAAATCACACTGAAACTCATCAACACACCCACATGCACGCACACAGCACACATTCAGCACATTTTGTGAAAGGAGACAACTTCCTTCAAACTGCAAACTGGGATTGTTGAGTCCTCACCACGAAACCGAGTGGGTCTGGTCTCAAAGCCTTTTATTTGTCTCTAGACTATCCCAGCTTGCATTTCCTCTCACAGGATTTGTTGAAAATAGAAAATAGCACGTTGCTGTACGTTTCTGGGTACATTATGCAACATGTTATATATTTGTCTTTGAGAATATTGTAAATGTGTCAATTTGACTTAAGAAACATCATAAAACTGTTCGAGAGCAATTGGAGACTTTTTTTTTTTTGCTAAAGTCTCCTGCTTCTCAGATGTTTGTCCTGAGAAAAAGAGCACAGAAATGTCGTATGCTTTTTAAAAGAGATCTCGACAATGTCTCAAACTGTGCTCAGGTTTGCCAAAATCTGCAGGTCAGAGATTTCACTATAAACCCAAACATTTCTCATGAAGCAGCTATATGCTTTATTTTTTATAGTTCTATGCTTTTATTATATGTCAACAGCTCTCACATTTGTGCTCTCCTAAAATGAGTTATTTCATACCATATGTGTTTATATGAATATGATGACCTGATTTCAGAATCTATACCGCATGCCAAGGTTTTATGTAAGAGTCATAATAAGCAGTTTTTGTGTGATTTTGGGAAAAACGGTGCAGAGGTGACCTTCTGAGACAAATGAAGGTTTTTCTTCCCTGGTGTCTGAGATTTTGAAAGTGTTCTATATGAATAAATAATGCCATGGTCCTCTTTGTGAGTGATTGTGTCTGATCGGTTTGCAGTTACTGGAGAATCACCCAGCTTCAGCAGCTCACTTCAGCACAAAGCAATATCTCGGACACAGAACATGCTCCAGATGGATTTTCCTACTAACACAATCAGCCTGTCTTCCTCTGCTTCTCTCTTCTTTCCTATATCTGTGATCTTGACTCTTGACGATTTTGCAGACGCTGTGTCGGAGTTTATTTACCATTTTTAATTTCCACAGACTCACAGACGTGTGTAATTGCTGAATATCATGTCCATGTGTGTGTTGTATGTGTGCTTTTGTATTTTTTAATGAATATTTTAATTCCTTGGTTTAAGATGGATCATTTATCTTCACTGCTTTTAATCAGTATAATTGTTGTCTGGTTTGAATCATTGACTGGTTTGATGTTGCAGTGTGCCATTTATGCTTTATTTAAGCATAAATGCATTAATTAAATAATTTAAAGGATAGTTCTTTGTACATCTAATGGGTAAATCTCGATATTTGGGTCATATTTCACTCCACGATTAAAATATATATATATATATAAATCCACCCTTCAGTCCATCTATAATGGCCATCATGGTATTATTAGGGTTGCTGATCACAGGCAGGCTATTGATGAAGAAGTCCAGTTGTCCGTTGCGATAGATGACGACATGGTAGGCACTAATGTTTCCGTTCGGCTCATCCGGTGGAGAGAACATTACATAAACACGTGTCACTTCCTCTGGGATCACCGTCAATGTCACGTTTTTGGGAGGATCTTTGGGCTCTGGGAAAACATGACCATGAATGTCACAAATAAGTCATGCATGCATGCATTCAATGGATATCTGATAATCAAGCATGCACAAACATCCTCACCGTCCTCCAGGGTTCTGGCGAGGACGGGTTCAGATGCTTTGCCATCTGTGCGAGCATCGGAAAGCTGTCCCGTGAAGGCGGTGATGGTAATAGAGTACAGGGTAAATGCAGTCAGGTTCCCAACAACCACCGCCCTGATCTCCTCTGAATACCGCACTAGGCTTATGTTATAAACCGAACCGTCCAACTGAAAGAGGACAAGGAGAAACTGAAGCAGAAACTTTCAGAAAGTCAACAGATGAACAAGATTTCTCAAGTTTATGAACTCACAGCAGTGATGTCAATGATGTATGAGGTGGGCCCTGAGATGACCGACGGTTCGTCCCACACAATCTTTAACCCAGTGGGAGAAGGAAACACTGATATGGCACCAGGGGGGGCATCAGGGTCTAAGACAAAACAAATAAGGGTTTGCTATATGCATATGACAACCCAAAGGAAAATTATATACTGTAGCTCAAGATCTCAGAAGACTTAATACATGTTTCCTCTAAGCTGTACTTCTCATATTGCTCCCACGTAGACCAAAGAACACTCTCTGCAAAAGGCAAATACTTAAAAATGTGTGGAAAAAATTTCGATCTCGAGAGTTCTTGAATCAAAGCCAATGCATTGGGCAGCTTTTCAACAATATTGGCCATTGATTTCCAGTATGGAACTAAAATCGTGAGAATGCAGCACTGATTCACAAGATCCCTGAACACTGCAGAGATTTCATAGCAGTGTCAAACAGAAGTGAAAGACAAATGATGTATTCCAAACACAGTGAAGCTCACAGAGGCCATGCAAATATTAATATCTCGTTGCTTGTCTGAGGAAAACAAGAAAAAGAAAAAGAATGTTTGGCCTCAAGATAGATTTTCTATTTATTTTCTTTTTTTTGTGGAAACTATAGACAAATTTTAGGAAAAAAGTAATAAAATTACTTATATATTTCAACTTTTTAATTTTTAAATTCATTTAATATATATATATATAAATAAAAAAGAAACAAAATTACAAATATATATATATATATTTGTAATTTTGTTTCTTTTTTATTTGTCTATATATTTTTTTAAATGAATTTAAAAATTAAAAAGTTGAAATATATAAGTAATTTTATTACTTTTTTCCCAAAATTTGTCTATAGTTTCCACAAAAAAAAGAAAATAAATAGAAAATCTATCTTGAGGCCAAACATTCTTTTTCTTTTTCTTGTTTTCCTGAGACAAGCAACGAGATATTAATATTTGCATGGCCTCTGTGAGCTTCACTGTGTTTGGAATACATCATTTGTCTTTCACTTCTGTTTGACACTGCTATGAAATCTCTGCAGTGTTCAGGGATCTTGTGAATCAGTGCTGCATTCTCACGATTTTAGTTCCATACTGGAAATCAATGGCCAATATTGTTGAAAAGCTGCCCAATGCATTGGCTTTGATTCAAGAACTCTCGAGATCGAAATTTTTTCCACACATTTTTAAGTATTTGCCTTTTGCAGAGAGTGTTCTTTGGTCTACGTGGGAGCAATATGAGAAGTACAGCTTAGAGGAAACATGTATTAAGTCTTCTGAGATCTTGAGCTACAGTATATAATTTTCCTTTGGGTTGTCATATGCATATAGCAAACCCTTATTTGTTTTGTCTTAGACCCTGATGCCCCCCCTGGTGCCATATCAGTGTTTCCTTCTCCCACTGGGTTAAAGATTGTGTGGGACGAACCGTCGGTCATCTCAGGGCCCACCTCATACATCATTGACATCACTGCTGTGAGTTCATAAACTTGAGAAATCTTGTTCATCTGTTGACTTTCTGAAAGTTTCTGCTTCAGTTTCTCCTTGTCCTCTTTCAGTTGGACGGTTCGGTTTATAACATAAGCCTAGTGCGGTATTCAGAGGAGATCAGGGCGGTGGTTGTTGGGAACCTGACTGCATTTACCCTGTACTCTATTACCATCACCGCCTTCACGGGACAGCTTTCCGATGCTCGCACAGATGGCAAAGCATCTGAACCCGTCCTCGCCAGAACCCTGGAGGACGGTGAGGATGTTTGTGCATGCTTGATTATCAGATATCCATTGAATGCATGCATGCATGACTTATCTGTGACATTCATGGTCATGTTTTCCCAGAGCCCAAAGATCCTCCCAAAAACGTGACATTGACGGTGATCCCAGAGGAAGTGACACGTGTTTATGTAATGTTCTCTCCACCGGATGAGCCGAACGGAAACATTAGTGCCTACCATGTCGTCATCTATCGCAACGGACAACTGGACTTCTTCATCAATAGCCTGCCTGTGATCAGCAACCCTAATAATACCATGATGGCCATTATAGATGGACTGAAGGGTGGATTCAATTACAGCATAAGGGTAGGAAACTAAAACCTAAACATTTTAGGAGCGTTCACACCAACTTTTTTTCACTTGGTTCGATTGTTTGCTCCAAAGTGCATCTCCAGCCTCTTCCTTTACATGCTTAGGTCTCTTTCATACACTCAAAGGCAAAAAAAGCTACAAAGCCATCACTGGGGCAGTACCCTAAGGTACAAAAGCTAAAAGATACATCTTGTTTACCCTATTTACCCCTAAATAGTACATATTAGTACCTTAAAGGTGCATATTAAGAGTTTAAAAATACATATTTGTAACTAAAGTGTATATATCAGTACCTTTTGAAAGGGTAACCCCCCCCCCCCACACACACACACACACACACACACACACAAAAATGGAAGGCAATATTTGCATCAGTCTTTTAAATCATGTTTTTATTCCTTTTGGTTTTAAATACTAAAACTTCACCTGCACAGAATGGTACTTGTTGCTGTTTGCTGACTTCCACAATTAGGCTAAATGCATTTGTTTTGTACTTGTTGCAGATAGCAGCCGTGAATGGAGCTGGTTTAGGACCAAGTTCAGAGGTTCAGGTGACCACAGGTGTAAAAGGTATGAGAAAACCTAATGCTTTGTAAGTCAGCTAAACTATTTTGCTGAAGTGTCTGTCATTTTAAGATTCTGGCGGGTTTATTTAGCACCACCCAAACCGTCGAGGAGGCCGCGGGCTGCTCTGAGCAACGCAGGTGTCATCATCTCTACCTCCAACACCATCACCATTGAGATGCCTGAATGTTTCTTTGCAGATGACCATGGACCAATCCAAAAAGTCCAGGTCATTGTTTCTGAACCAGCAGGTATTAAAAAAAAAGACATTTAACACTAGCAATAATGGCACTTTAAGGATATCTTTTTTAAAGATATTAATACTTTTATTCAGCAAGGATGCATTAAATTAATAAAAAATGACAGTAAAGAAATTGAATTAAATTAAAATTATATTTAAAATATATTCAGAATATTATTTCACAATATTAAAGTTTTTACTGAATTTTTGATCAAATAAATGCAGCCTTGGTGACCAAATGAGACTTCTTTCAAAACATTAGAAAGGTTTATTGGTATCTTGTTGTTCTAATGTTGATGCAGTGATGGACTACGGTAATCTGTCAAACTGGAAAAGTGTTTTCCTCTACCCTACCGCACCGTACCTGACCGACGAGGGCTTCTTGAACCCAAAGTGCTTGGAGAAAGCAGAGCGCATGAGCACAAACACTAAAACATACATTATAGGAGCAGATGAGGGCTGCCTGTCTGAAGATGCCAAGACACTTTGTAACGGACCCCTCAAACCCAAAACATATTATGTGTGAGAGACATAGGCACACGCAACTAATCTGTGTTGTAAATATTTTAATCCAACCTGTTTCCAACTGTTTATTTTTTGTATTGTAGGTTCAAATTTCGGGCAACAAACATCCGTGGGCAGTACACAGACTCGGAGTACTCAGATAGGGTCAGAACCGCAGGTATGGACGCAAGTAGCACACAGTTACAATATTAATGCACTGAGACCAGCTGTGATGTCTCGCTCACATTTTCCCTCTCAGATTTTCATTTTATATATATATATATATATATATATATATATATATATATACTTTCAGTATTTTTCACATTGAGTTAAAGAGATAGTTCACCCAAAAATAATAGGGGTGGCATGATACCATTTTTTCAGAACCGATCCCGATCCGATACCAAAAGTTCTGAGTATCGGACAATACCGATACCAATCCGATACCAGCACAGTTTTTTTATTTTTTATTCTGTGCCTCTGTGGAATAAAGCTGCATGGTAATGAACCTAGCTAAGGCATCGCATTTCTAACCGCCGGTTTGTTGTGTAATGCTTCAGCGAAACCCCTAAAGATACATAAACTACGTAGCCAATGTTATAATACTGGTGTGGTATATGATGGGACAGTCACGATGGGGTAAATCATGCAGGCATTTCCTTCACATCATGCAAGAGCCCCTATGAGCTCAATCACCCAGCTAGTCTCTTTCCTCTTCCATGCAGTCGGGGAGTTTTTTGGCTGAGTTATTACTGATCAACATGCAATATTCATCTGAGGAGGTATTATCATTTTGCCGAGCTCCATAGCCCTTTGCCCCTTCGTGTTAGACTGGCTGAGAGATAAATTGCCTGGGGGCTGCTCCGGGCCTTGATTGCCTACCGCCGCAACTTGTCAGAGACAGGGGAAGAGGACACTTGGAAGGGAAGAGATAGCTGACACACAGGCTAGTAAGGGTGCCATGCATTTTTCATACCGCTTCCCTAATTGAGGCACCTGCGAGAGAAACTCACAGCCGTTTGCTTGCTGCCGGTGTTATTGTTGTCGTTCAGATTTACAGGGATTCGCCTGCTTTTGAAATCCAATCTCTTTTCTTCCCCAAGCAGACGAGGCCTTGATTTACCTCTTTGTGAAATGCTCAGGTGAAATCAGAATGAAAAATTTGTGGAAATGTCTTTGTTTTGGTCTAAAACTTTGCATGTGCAAGGTAAAAGTAACCCTTTCCAACTCGCAACTTAGTTTAAGTGCACTTTGGGGACATTAAATGGTGGCTGTCTATTAGAATTCAACAATCAAGCACACAAACGTGGCCTCAAAAATTTGTATAACACTTCTAGGGATGGTTTAAATTAGGGGTGGCACGATACAATTTTTTCAGAACCGATCCCAATCCGATACCAAAAGTTCTGAGTATCGGACAATACCGATACCAATCCGATACCAGCACAGTTTTTTTATTTTTTATTTCTATACCTCAGTGTGTGTTGGCCTGATCATCACTCTTTTGTGTATTACACACAATCTACTAAATATAGACAACTTCATTATAAAGAAAAATAACAAATAAAAAAATATACAATCATAATCTGAGAAAAATACTATTATAAACTAGGTTAGTGGATAATTCAGCAGCAAAAGTTAGTCTACAAAAATTATGAGTTCACAATAATTTTATAAAATCTAAACATTTAGAGAAAAAACCTTATTTAGTGGGGGAACAAATAAAAGTAAATTGGTGTAATCTGGTCAAATGTTACACATTGCTCTTTGTATTGTAATATACATTCATGAAAAACAAGTAAATATAATTATATATAAATATATGCAATAAATTAAATACATTTATAGCACAGTAATGAGGCAGCAACATATGATAGATAAGACAGAACAAGAAAGGCTATTAACAATCTTTCACTGTGCAAAAGTTTTGTCGTCTTGACTGTCGTAACTGAACGCGATGAGCAGCTTGAACGCTGAATAGAGGATGACTGACAGCCGCAGCGGAGAGAAGGGTTTATGTGAACTTGAATTTAATGACTTAAATATTCATCTGTACCTCACATTAAACTATGAAACGGTGTCAGAACACTTGAAATATAGTGCACGGAAACTTTATGGTGCTTAATGTTTTTGTGGCTTTCGTGGGGCTTAACAATAACACAGAATAATATATGCACTATATCGGATTTGGATCAGTCTCGGCTGATCGATATCCCGATCCAGCAGAAAATGCCATTATCGGAGCGATACCGATCCTGAATATCGGATCGGCGCACCCCTAAAAAATAACAATTCTGTCATTGTTTAATCGTATGGACAACTTTTATGATACTTTTATGGTGTTTTTAAAATTTTGGAGCTTGGCAGCCCCAGTCCTTACTCACTTTCATTATATTAAAAAAAAGAACAGATATTCTTCAAAACAATTTTATTTTGTGTTCCACAGAAGAAAGTAAGTCGTACAGATATGACATATAACAACTTTGAGGGTGATTAAATCATTGCACCCCCTCTGTTTTTTATTTATTTTTTTATTTTTTTACTAATTACAACTTTTATATTTTTTTTACTGTTCAGTTATTTATTTTATAAATTATTGACACAGTTTAAAATGTGTTTATATAACTTTACATTATGTTATCTTACTTTTACTTTTTAATTTTTTTTTTATTCAGTTTCCCCTAAAATTGCAAATAGAAATAATTGTATATTGTCTTATGATATTTTGGTTAGCATTTCTCCTTTTTCATGTACACTACCATTTCATTTTAATTAAGACTTTTTTTTTCAGCAAGGACACATTAAATTGATCAAAAAATTGTTACAAAAGAAAAAAAATCCATTTGAAATAAATTGTTCTTTTGAACTTTATATTCATCATGGTTTCCACAAAAATAGGAAGCAGCACTACTGTTCTCAACACTGATAATAAAAATAAATGTTTCTTGAGCAGCAGATCAGCATATTAGAATGATTTCTGAAGGATCATGTGACATTGAAGACTGGAGTAATGATGCTGAAAATTCAGCTTTGCATCACCGGAATAAATTACATTTTAAAATATATTAAAATAGAAAACAGTTATTTTGAATTGTAATAATTTTTCACAATTTTCCTGTTTTTACTATATTTTTTTGATCAAATAAATGTAGCCTTGGTGAGCATTTCTTCAAGACATTTCATTTAAATCCATTAAAAATGTATTTATGTTCTTATACGTGTACCTTCTATAATGCTGGACTTGTAGAACAGTACATTTCTATGTGAATAAGTACTGCTTCTGCTGTGTAGAAATATTGACTGTGATTTCAGATAACCGCCTGCTGACCAGAGATGAGCAGATCATTCTTGGAGTCCTGCTGTCATTTTTCCTGGCATTGTTTTTAATTCTGATTATATACGGATCTGTCAGGTAAGTTGAGTGTTGTTGTAAATAGGGATGCAACAACATACTCCAATAGTATTTCGCAAAAAGCCCCTGGTTTTCCTAGTTTAACAACTGGACTCACTCTCTCTGATCCTAGGATCCACCGCAGGCAGAAGGAAGGTGGGACGTACTCTCCACGCGAGGCTGAGATCATTGAGACCAAGTTCAAGCTGGATCAGCTCATTGCAGTGGCCGACCTGGAGCTCAAAGAGGAGAAGATTAACCGGTGAGACATCGTCCACATGCTGTACATGAGCAGTGGGCTTTAGTTATCTGTGTTTATATGTCATTTTTCTTCTGCTCTCTCTCTCTCTCTTACTCACTAATTTACTCATTGGCTCACTCACTCACTCATCCTTTCATTCATTCACTCTCACTAATCCATTCAAACACTTGCACGATCCTCTCTTCTCAGGTATTCCTCCTTTTTCTTTAGAAGGAAGGAGATTTTTGTCATCCAGTAAGTAGACAGAGATGTTGGTGTTTAGATGATGCATGATCTCATGTGATGTGTAGTATCAGTATTTTCGTTTGTTTTAAAGATTACACGTTTTATTTTCCCAGTTGCATGTTGTGCTGTTAGTACTAGCGTTGAATGTTTTATTATGAATGAATATGCCGCACTAAATTATCTGCTTTGCCATAATTTGGGGCTGTTCGGTTTCATAATGCTGCTCTGTAGTTCTGTTCTGCTTTGTGTAGTTCTGCCTGAAAGATCACATGGAGTGACTCTCCGATTCGTTTTATGTTTGTGTGTCTTCCTCTAATTATATCGTGTGGTGAACTTCACACAGATTAATTTCTTATTTATGACTGGAAGTGAAAAAGTAACCAAATCTTTCAGTGCAAGGCCAATTTCATAATAATTCTCTACTGTCTAATGTTCCAGGCTGCTAAGTTACAGGAAATCTCTCAAGTAAGTGAAGGAGACTTGATGGATTGATTGATTTTTTTTTTACTTATATATCTATGGTTGATTGATTTTCTTCCTGGTGTGTTTCATAATTGGACATTTTCTGCTGTGTGTTTCAGGAGCTGCCGAAGCTGCTTCAGGATCTGGCCACATCAGACGCTGACCTGCCGTGGAATCGCTCCAAAAATCGCTTCACAAACATTAAACCCTGTAGGAAAAATTTTATTGAATTCTGTCATTGTTTAGTAACTCATTTCAAACCTGTTAAGACTTTTTTTGTTCTGTGCAACACAAAAGGAGAGGTTTAACAGGCTGTCAAGCTCCAAAAAGGACGTAAAAGCACCTCAGAAGTGTCCCATATGACTTGTGTGCTACACTACTATTCAAAAGTAAAATACAGTAAAAACAGGAACATTGTGAAATTATATTTCAATTTAAAATACCGGTTTTCTTTTAAAATGTAATTTATTCCTGTGATGTAAAGCTGAATTTTCAGCATCATTACTCCAGTCTTCAGTGTCACATGATCCTTCAGAAATCATTCTAATATGCTGATTTGATGCTCAAGAAACATCACTTAGTATTATCAATTTTGAAAATAGTTGTACTGCTTAATTTTTTTTTTGTGGAAACCATGATACAATTAGACATCTTTTTGTAAAAAGTAACAAATAAAATAATAAAAGTATTAATAAAAAAAAATCTTAATAGCTTTGCAAGATGAACAGCGCAACATTTTAGCCGTTCTTAGTTGAGAATCTTCTCAAATGTAAATATGCAATAAGAAGCTACTAGTACTACAGATTATCATATCATAGTTAGAAATTATCCCGTGAACTACTTTTATAGGTCTTTTTTTAAGCTTTTTTTTTTTGTTATTCAGAATGTTTTTTTTTGTTCCAAAAAAAGTCATGCAGGTTCTGAATGACATGAGGGTAAGAACAGGAATTTTAATTTCAAAGATATTTATTTATTTTACACTTACCAGGCTTGCTTTCTATAAACTACCACTATGTTTACATGGACAACAATACTCCGATTTTAATACGATTAACTCAATATTCTGATTAAGACTCTACCATGTAAACAGAGATTTTTGATTACCTTAATCCGGCTAAAGTCATACTCGAAGTAAACAGAAATCTATATTAAGACATGTAGAGTATTCCTATTTTAGTCGCATTATTGAAGTGCAGGGTTAGGACATGTACACACCTTAATCACATTATTACCGTCGTGTAGGACTTTTCGCCACATTTTGTGACAGGATACACACATGGCAGTGGTCAACCATTTGACGGCAAACAAAAGAGCATGGCTTCAACAACACCGTCGTCTGTTTGCACGTATAGCATGACAAATAATTAACTGCACTTGAAGCTTTCACTAAATTAAAAATGAAACACCCAAAACTGTATAGGGCATCATAACGAAGACAAACTCAAGGTGCGTCCCAAATCGCGTACTTATGCACTATTCTATGACGTTTTGTAGTATAAATAGTGTGAGTAGTGTTTTCACACTGAAAATTCCAAAAAGAAAAAGTGCACTTTAAATACCGGTTTTCTTTTAAAATGTAATTTATTCCTGTGATGTAAAGCTGAATTTTCAGCATCATTACTCCAGTCTTCAGTGTCACATGATCCTTCAGAAATCATTCTAATATGCTGATTTGATGCTCAAGAAACATCACTTAGTATTATCAATTTTGAAAATAGTTGTACTGCTTAATTTTTTTTTTTGTGGAAACCATGATACAATTAGACATCTTTTTGTAAAAAGTAACAAATAAAATAATAAAAGTATTAATAAAAAAAAATCTTAATAGCTTTGCAAGATGAACAGAGCAACATTTTAGCCGTTCTTAGTTGAGAATCTTCTCAAATGTAAATATGCAATAAGAAGCTACGAGTACTACAGATTATCATATCATAGTTAGAAATTATCCCGTGAACTACTTTTATAGGTCTTTTTTTAAGCTTTTTTTTTTTGTTATTCAACTGTTTGTTCCAAAAAAGTCATGCAGGTTCTGAATGACATGAGGGTAAGAACATGATGACAGAATTTTAATTTCAAAGATATTTATTTATTTTACACTTACCAGGCTTGCTTTCTATAAACTACCACTATGTTTACATGGACAACAATACTCCGATTTTAATACGATTAACTCAATATTCTGATTAAGACTCTACCATGTAAACAGAGATTTTTGATTACCTTAATCCGGCTAAAGTCATACTCGAAGTAAACAGAAATCTATATTAAGACATGTAGAGTATTCCTATTTTAGTCGCATTATTGAAGTGCAGGGTTAGGACATGTACACACCTTAATCACATTATTACCGTCGTGTAGGACTTTTCGCCACATTTTGTGACAGGATACACACATGGCAGTGGTCAACCATTTGACGGCAAACAAAAGAGCATGGCTTCAACAACACCGTCGTCTGTTTGCACGTATAGCATGACAAATAATTAACTGCACTTGAAGCTTTCACTAAATTAAAAATGAAACACCCAAAACTGTATAGGGCATCATAACGAAGACAAACTCAAGGTGCGTCCCAAATCGCGTACTTATGCACTATTCTATGACGTTTTGTAGTATAAATAGTGTGAGTAGTGTTTTCACACTGAAAATTCCAAAAAGAATGACGTTTTGTAGTATAGTGTGAGTAGTGTGTTCACACTGAAAATTCCAAAAAGAAAAAGTGCACTTTAAATACCCGGATGATGCACTTAAATAACCGAAATAACTAAGTGTGGAATGTTGAACACTTCATGCACTCAACTGTCGCAGCTTTAATTACGTAGTGAAGGGGGAGGGGCTATCAGACGCCATTTATGAATGACAAAATAACCTTATATAATTCATACACTACATGGTTGAGTACATAGTGTATAAGTGCATAGTGTATAGTGCGTCATTTGGGGCGTAGCTTATATGTTTATACGTGAAATTCCAGAGGGGACGTCGGATGGCGTCACGTGGTGACGTAATGACGTATGCCATTAATCGATCTATGTGAGTGAGTGAGTGAGTGACGTGACATGTGGCCAAGTATGGTGACCCATACTCAGAATTAGTGCTCTGCATTTATCCCATCCTAAGTGCTCAAGGGTACATTCACTCCCCCCATCTACAATCCCTGCCGGTACGAGACTCGAACCCGCAAACTTTGGGTTACGAGTCCGACTCTCTAACCATTAGGCCACGACTTGTACTATAACATGTAAAACGGGAACATGAAAGGAATATTCTAAAAGCAACTCATGTAAACACCATAATCAAAATATTGGCTTATTTAGAATAAGGTAAATAATTTGATTATTGATGTCCATGTAAACGTAGTCAATGTTAACACATATTTGAACATGTCTTTTTTAGATAACAATAGCCGAGTGAAGTTACTGTCTGAGCCAGGAATGCCGGGGTCGGACTACATCAATGCCAGCTTCGTCTCTGTAAGCGCTCGAGAGCAGCCCACATATCAGCTGTCTCTCTCTTTTATGCCGAGGAACAACTTTAATTGAATTGGCCTAAGCTCCTGTTCTGTGTCTTGTCTCTGTGTCTCAGGGCTATCTCTGTCCTAATGAGTTTATAGCCACTCAGGGTCCTCTGCCTAGTACTGTCGCTGACTTCTGGAGGATGATTTGGGAGACGGGGACCAAAACCATCGTCATGCTCACTCAATGCTTTGAGAAGGGCCGGGTGTGTATGTGTGTGTTTGAATAAAACAATTTAGCCATTCGATTTATGTTTGTATATACTCGTGTATATATTATCTTAAAAATATGTTCTAAGGTTTTACAGTCTGATGTCATAGGAGAATCAAAGGAGTCCAACAAAGAGCATTATTCTCTAGTTTGGATGCCATTGACTCATAAATATCATAATGTCTTTGTGAGAGACTTCCTTCCTAAAATATAAAGGCAGATATATTTATAATATTTATATTTTTCACTGCATAAATGGATTTTATACATTAAATAGAAGTATGTATACTCATTTATACAGTGAAAAATGTATTTAATGTATAAAACCTGTTTATTTAAATATAAATGTGTATAAATATTGTAAATATGCACATTTTCTACCCACCAGTACAGCGTTGTTTCGTGTATTAACCTTTAAAAAGTAAAACTAAAAACAGTAATATCAAAATTCTGAATTAATTCGTTTTTTTTTTATTTGTTATTTTTGTTATTTGTTTATTTTACATGATTTATTTTCAACCTTTTCAACTCTTTATTTACAATTAAGAGTATGTGTAATATGTAGATACTGTTAATTAATTCAGACTTTTATTCATATTAATTTAATTTTACCTCCTTGTCGGTCTATATGAAGAATTTATATCCAAAACACAACTAAAACAAATGTTTGACAGTGATTTGCTGAAATATATCATCATAATAAACTATACATGTAATGTGGCTGTATGTTTTAGATCCGCTGTCATCAGTACTGGCCAGAAGACAATAAACCCGTCACTGTTTTTGCTGATATCATAATCACTAAACTCACAGAAGACGTGCATCCTGATTGGACGGTCCGGGCACTCAGAGTAGAGAGGGTAAAACAGTTTACAATGTCATTTTTATCTTTTAGATCAACCGCTGTCATAGCAGAGCAAGTGTTGAAGAGAAGTTGCTGACATGTTTATTGCTAGCTAGTTGAATTTATTCGTCCAGTTAAATGGCATCCAGTTTAATTCAAAGAAATCTCAGTCGCCCCCTGAAGTATTGAGGTTTTTTATTGCCACAAAAATGTATGTACCATGGGGCCGCATGCTTGTATGTGCTGATTGTGTAGTTGAGTCTGCATATGCATACTTGAGTATGTCTGTGGCCTTACTATGAGTCCAAAAATGCACAATAACACAGATATGGGTGGTTAGGTAGATAATTAGTCCCCAAGGACATATTTAGCCCTTCCTCTCTCTTTTTCTCTCTCCAGCACGGAAGTTACATGATTGTTCATCATTTTAACTACACCTCATGGCCAGAACACGGCGTTCCGGAGTCCAGCTCCACACTCATCCAGTTTGTCAAAGCGGTTCGCTCACACAGAAGCCATGACAACACAACCAATGTGGTCCACTGCAGGTGTGTATATTTGCCCATTAGATTAACAGGAAGTCTTGAGGCTTTTCTCTACAGTAACCGGTGCATGATTGTTTTTTCTTATCTTATCTTATCTCTTATGCAAAACAGGCTTCCATAGGACTGGCCAATGTTATTTTAGTAGCATCGAGATAATATTATAGTTTTTATTTTAGTTATTTTGAATTAGTTTTTAGTTGTTGTTTTTTTTTATATATATTTTTTGTTTTACGTTAAGTTACAAAAAAGTGTTTTCATGGTCTTAGTTACATATGTGACCCTGGAGCACAAAACCAGTCTTAAGTCTCTGGGATATATTTGTAGCAATAGCCAAAAATACATTGTATGGGTCAAAATTATTGATTTTTCTTTTATGCCAAAACTCATTAGGATATTAAGTAAAGATCATGTTCCATGAAGATATTTTGTAAATTTCCTACTGTAAATATATTAAAACTTAATTTTTTTATTAGTAATATGCATTGCTAAGAACTTAATTTGGACAACTTTAAAGGCGATTTTCTCAATATTTGGATTTTTTTGCACCCTCAGATTCCAGATTCCAAATATTGTCCTATCCTAACAAACCATACATCAATGGAAATCTTATTTATTCAGCTTTCAGATGATGTATAAATCTCAATTTCGAAAAACTGACCCTTATGACTGGTTTTGTAGTCCAGGGTCACATATATGTAAATTTTGTAGACATGGATGTAATGTCTGTATGTGCAGTGCTGGTGTGGGCAGGACTGGAGTGTTCATTGCCCTGGATCATCTCATTCAGCATGTGAGGGATCATGATTTTGTGGATATATATGGCCTGGTCGCAGAGCTGCGCAGTGAGAGGATGTGCATGGTGCAAAACCTGGTAATCCTATTTAGAAATTGACAGATTTCACTTTATATTGCAAAAATAGTTCAGTCTCTGTAGACTTGTGTGAGATGATCATGTTCTCCTGCTCAGATGTTGTTGATATGTGCCTCTCTCTCAGGCTCAGTACATGTTTCTGCATCAGAGCACTCTGGATCTGCTGTCTGCAAAAGGAAACAGTCAGTCCATATGGTTTGTAAATTACTCCGCTCTGGAGAAGATGGACTCGCTGGATGCGATGGAGGGTAAAATACATCCTACAGTCAATGACTTGTGCAGTGCAGTGAGCCTGGTGATTAAAGATATCTGTCATTCTTCTGCTTTGTCTTGATGGAAACGTATTTTGTCATGTTTGTTCTCTCAGGTGATGTAGAATTGGAGTGGGAAGAGACGACTATGTAACAGGGACGTTGTTTCCTGTCAGTCTGTGAGGAGACATGGGACACACTCATTAAAAATCCAGACGCTGGGACATTGGACCCTGTGGCCAAACACGCTAAGCAAAGGATAAACGAGGAATACAGAAGTGATTCAGAAGCAAACTCAAATATTCTCACCTAAACGGATTGTCTCAGTCTTCCAACCTCTCATTTACATCCACCAGACAATCTCATCTATCAAAGTTTTTCGAAAGTTCTTGTCCAACTTCTGCCATTCTTTTATCTCTACCTAGAATATGATACACCACCTACTTATGGACTCAAAATGGAACAGACACCAAAAATATGTCTGTTTCTTAAGTAGGAATATTCAGCAGACTGGAGTGAGAAATTGTGGGGTTTTTATGTCCTGTAGTCAAATGTATTATTAATGCAATTATTAGGGATGAGAGTCATAAGGATGTTTTGCAAAATTATTCCCTTAATGATTCTTTTGGTCTTGGGTTTTTTTTGGGGGGGGGACAAATTATGAGATAATTACAACAGAAGAGTATTGCATTCACACAGAACATGAACATATCCCTACTTGTAGTATTCCTTACACCAAGAACGAAATCTATAACAATAGGTCCACATCAACAGATAATAACGTTATTTTTATTGCATTGATTTGGAATATCTGTCAATGTTTATAGCGTTCATCTGGAAAAATCACTCTGAAAGAGATTCCAATCCAACGAACTCCATGCCGTTATCGTAAAAGTTATGTGGACTATCCTTTTTAAGGCCCGTTCATACTAAGACCGATGCTACATTAGCATCCACACCAATGGACAATAACTATTTAATAATATAGCTGCAAGCAGCGATTACTGGGGTTCAAGCACTTTAAGACATTTAAGCACATAAGGACAAGACATTGTGTATTATTTAACAAGCCTGTAGCCAGATAAATCAATGATTAAAAAGAGCATTTTTGTCAATTGCATTTATCATAGAAATATTATGTTTATTAACATTTGTGGCTGTTATAGCTACACCTACGGTCCGATCTCCATAAAACTTTGTATGATTATTTAGAATCATCTGTCGCATGTGCTCATCTAGTTTGGTGAAGTTTTGAGTTTTCGTTTAGAATTTATAGGCTTTTGGGTATATTTGACCACGCCCCCTTTTCTAAAATGACCCCGTTATAGCTACTCAAAAGGAAATGTTCAACATTTATTTTTTTGATTATTGATCTAGAATTCAGAGAATCATGCTGCAGTGCTTATATTGAGGTTGAGCTAGTTCGCAAAAGTAGTTTAGGACTAGTTCGCAAAAGTTTTTTTTTTTAAATAATCGAGAATATTTAATGAATGATTTGAATGACAGCAGAGGTTTTTCAATATGAGGATATCTATCAAATGATATGAATATTGTATGGGTGTGTGAAACGCCACCTGAATACAGAGGCATAAAACTCCACATCAGTTTTATGTGGAGTTTTACCTTGTGGCCGATTTCTTTCAAAATTATTACAGACCCCTAGGGCCATGAATTGAACATGCCCACCGAGTTTCGTTCCGTTCAGCCTCTGTTAACCTTGTTTAATAGGTGATAAAAATTCACTGGCTGATGGCGGTCATGTTTTTTTAGATACATGAATATCCTTGTGGCACTTTGGACAAAGACACTGCATACCAATTTTCAAGTCGATCAGAATAATGGGTGCGTAGTTATAGCCATTTTTGTTTTTCCCTGTTATAGCGCCACCAAGTGGCCAAACTCCACGTTTTTTTTATTGTGACTTCAGATTGAGCTTTTACATACGTGTTCCAAGTTTGGTGAAAATATCTCTTTTCATTCAAGAGTTACATGCTTTTTAGTTTAAAAAAAACGTTTTGGCGTCCCGTCGCGACGTTGAGTCAAAAGCTAATCTTTTTTGATAATTATTGATATTCACTCTCCAGGTTCTGATCAGGAAAAAAATCTTGGACTAGTTCGCAAAAGTAGGTTTTTCAAAAAAATCCTAAATACACGAAAATTTCCACGATCGAATCCGAGGCATGCGTTTTGTCTGTCGCGAGCCAAAGATTCCAGTGGAATAAGACACTTGAGCCTGCGACTAACGGTTTAGAGTTATGAGTGATTTCGTACTTTTGATTGCTGTAGCGCCACCATCAGGCTGATTGGGGTGAGCCTTGGTGACATTGTAGACAGTGTGAGTACTACCCTCCCTCTAAGTCTCTACGACTTACGTTTTGGTCTGCCCGATCACTTTTAATGGAGAATGCTGATCCTTGACCATTCTAACAATTACAATAGGGTTTCAGCCCTTAATAAGCACGTGCAGCAATAAATGTAGTCTGCCATTTTAAACGCTCGAGCTCTATAAAGTCGAATAGATTCTGATAGACTGTCAGTGTTGTTGTTTTTTTCTTTCATCAGCTGGATATAATAGTTCTGAAAGTGGTTATAACGATATAATTTCTCATTTTAAAACCTAATTGTTTGCTGAAGTCATGTCAACTACACACAGCGGGCCATAACGTATTTCTGTGAAGCTATTAGCAGCACACACTTTTACAGTCGGTTGGGTTTTTATCATGGTTTTTATTCCCAGTCGATATTATTATCACTTATCAGCTGGAAAGAAGCGCTCTCGACATTGTCCCAAAGACATCTTTCCACCACGTCATTATTACAGTTGTGATCTGGTTTGGAGTCCTCTAAGCAGGGACACACTACACGACTAGTTGAAACATTCTAAGACTGAAATCAACACACTTAGTTAGAACGACTTTTATAACCAACCATTACCGTTCTTGGTGTGAACGGGACATTATGCTAGTCTAGACAGTTTGAGGTCTGACACGAACGATAATTTACCCACAATGAATGGGAGAAAACGGCACTGTTTATTGTTTGTCACGTGTATGTCTATGGCGAATGTTTTGCTAATCAGGAACTGTGAAGTTTGAAAGAGATTTCTCACACAGCATCTCTTCATAATCATCTCTGAAGTTTCAGACAGTGGTGCTTTTTCATTTATTCAGTCTGAATACTTTTATTTTGCTATCCACCGTCCATTAACTTATCCTAAAGCTGATGCAGAGTGAGATAACACATATTTTATATATTCATTCATTTGCAAATAATGACTTAAGTCGTTCATTTGTCTTTTATTGCTTTGTCCATTTGTTCGTGTTACACAGGAAGTGAGGAAATCTGTCATCTCACAAAACTGTAAAGCTCTATAAGAAGTTACTTATCTTTTGCATAAATTATTATGAAGCCAAATGAGTATCAGGAGATGACATACGGTTTTGTTGTGTGTATATTTGGAAATCAACAGTATTTGTGTTTTGAAATAAATATTGTTTTTCTTCTGAAGATCACTGCAGATATTTTGACTGTCACGATTTTCACTGAATAGATTTTTATTATTTTTAATTTAATTTAATTTTACTTTACACAATGGACAGTAAATGACAGCCCCAGAATTAACTACAATGCTTCATTTTATCTGTAGACCTGTATACTTAAATCATGATCTGTTCTTCACATAAAGCTATTGTATGATTAAGAATATAGAGCAAAAGTACTTTTAAGATATGTTTATGATAGAATAGAGCTTTTTGTCATTTTGGGACTTTACAGCCCTGGTTCTCATTCACTTTTTTATACTTGAAAAGACTGAGCTGAATATTTTTCAAAAATTCACCTTTGTGATAAACATAAGAATGAAAGTCATGGGTTTGGAATGACATGAGGGTGAGTGAATGTTTTCTATCTCTCTCTCTCTCTCTCTCTTTAAATGGTTACAGTAATGAAAATTGTGTGGTGTTGATGTAAAAAAAAAAAAAAGTGAGTGCACAGACTGTCATTCTCTGTGTGGTTGCTTTGAAGAGTGAGAGAGCATCGAGTGTGAAAGCAGCAATTCAGGACCCTGGAGAGCAGCACTGAAGCTTTCAGATGAAACAATGGGAGGACGCTGGGAGAACACAAGGTCCCTACTTGAGAGGTACTATGATTTTACCATGATTGAGAAGTGTCGTTATGTATGAAATGAAGTGCAACGACGGCAATATGAAATGTTCAATAAATAATCAAAACAAACAAAATAAAAAGAATTGAACTGATATGTGGACACGTGTGCGTATATCTACTGCTTTATATTTTAAAAAAAATACAATAAAAACTCTAGTATTGTGTAATCTGCTCAAGACACATTCTATTAATGTTGAAAACCGCTGTGCAAACTTTGTGGAAACTGTGATATAGATGAACAGAAAGTTAAAAAGAAAAGCATTGAGACTTATGCAAATATCTTTACCTGTCACTATTGATCAATTTAATGCATCCTTGCTTAACAATTTGATTTCTATGAATTTCTCATATTTATTTAAAAAAATCCTACTAACCTAACATTTTTGAACTTTTTGAATTAGCAATTTTTTTAGTAAGATGATTATAATATTCTTAATTTTAATTTATATGAAAATATATATTTTATTTTCGAGTTACATTTTTCTTCAAATTGCTTATTGGGTGATCATTTTCTCATACGTGGATGCAACTCCAACTAATCTCATTTCAAATTGTGCTTTTGATAAATGGAGTTGTTAATGTTTGTTCATGTAAATAAATGATAATGTTTATAATTAGTACTGATTAGTGAGTCAACACTTGAATGTCAAGTGTAATCAATATGCCGGTCGCATTTAACAGATCTAGCCAACAGTATATGAGAAGGTCTAGCTGAACAATAGATTTATTATATTATTTATTATATTTAACAGGCTGCTGATTACTGTCTTAAATTCCAATGTGATATTTAAGTCCATTGGTACAGAAACACAAATACACACACACAATTTTCTGCACGTTTAATGATTGTTTAGATATGATTTACGTGACATTGCATATACAGGATATGAATGTGAGTGTATCAAGTGTCTTTACACCATATAAAACTTCATAATAGTTTTCAATACAAATATAGATCATAAAAACCTATTAGGTGGGACCATTGATTTGACCATTACAAGGTTATATTTTGATAAGTTATACATGAAAATCTGCATTTTCAGGCATATTTTTAGCTTCTCTTTTTTAAATGGAACTTCTGGAAATTGAATTCAAGAAGTTCATGTTAGACTCGAGGATGGAGTTTATGGTGCATTTTCACAAAAATGCAGTGCAGTTTCATAACGTCACAGTCAGAATACGGCCCCTCGCTGGGTTTAAATGTGTTGCTTATTTGTTCTTGGAAACAAATATGTCACTACGTACTAATTTAACCCAGCAAAAGAACAGCTTCTGACTCGACGTTGTGTGTGATAGAGGAGTATATATGAGTTGAACGGTCCCATCAACAAGTCAGAGCAGGTGTGCGCGAAGGAAAGACTGTATTAATGAATAAACAGCTGTGCAAACTATACAATAAAGCTTTTCATTCTCCTACGCTGTATGGATAAATAGATTTATAAATAAATTTTTTTGCTGCTTTTCTGTAATTTCTGTGTCTAAGCACAGAATGACATCATTACCAATAAAACAGATATGTAGATACTTGTAATTAAAAACTAGTTTTGTAATTCAAAACTGAACGAAGAAAATAGAAGCATAAATATTAGTATTGTACATCTGAGATATACTCCTGATAAAAGCTCTTTATAGGTATCTGCACATAAACATATGAATCTCTCATGACATGCAATACAGAAAACATGAATTCTGAGTGGCAAACACAAACATAATCCACCAGATCATTTTAAAACACAAATGCCCCCCCCCCCCCCCCCAAGATTTTAATATAATAGTTTAATAGACATTTTAAGTGATACGTTTTTAAAAATATACAATTTATCAGTCATAGCCTTGTAGTATACAACATTTGATATTTTCTCAGAGGTTTGATGTGCACCTGGTTTTCACATGAAGCTACCTGAGCACCAGGCTTGATCACAGTAACACGCTACAGAGTCGCTCTATAGGACCAGACACAATAAAAAAAGTTGATTTAAGATGATTAGCTGGGTTAAAGCCAACCCCTGGCTCTAGTAGGTAAACTATCTCACCACCCTCTTTCAAATTTTTTTGCTTTGTGTTCCTGTAAAAAGTTGTTTTAAAGAAAAAGCATTAGAAAAGTAAGAAAAAAAAGTGTAAACATTTTGATTACTTTTAAACTTTGAAGGAATAATTCACCCAAAAATGAAAGTCTGCTGAAAATGTACTCACCCTCAGGCCATCCAAGATGCAGATGGCTTTGTTTCTTCATCAGAACAGATTTGGAGAAATTTAGCATTACATCATTTGATCACATCTCATGAAGTTTGCCAAAATATTAAAGTTAAAGTTAATAATCCATAATAATGCTTCCTCCAGTGAAAAAGTCCATCCCCGTTGTCCTCTAACATCAAAATCCACCTACACTTTTGTTTACAACTGTTTACGCTTGTAAACAGTGCTTGATCTATGTATATGTTTCTCCTGATTCAGACGAGATGTCGTTTTCATTTGAGAAATCAATCATATAGATAGAGACGTTCATTTTAAGTTAAATTGTCTTGATGATGGGTTTGTTTCCTACAAACACTCAGCTTTTCGCTTCACAGGAATGTTAACTGATGGACTGGAGTGGTGTGGATTACTTATGGATTATTGTGATGTTTTTATCAGCTGTTCGGACTCTCATTCTGACGGCACCCATTCACTGCAGAGGATCCGTTGCTGAGCAAGTGATGGAATGCTACATTTCTCCAAATCTGTTCTGATGAAGAAACAAACTCATCTACATCTTGGAGGACCTGAGGGTGAGTATGTTTTAAGCAAATTTTCATTTTTAGGTGAACTATTCCTTTGATTTTTACTCATTTATAAATATTAAAAGATCAATACTTGACGTACATTCAATGTGAATGTATATTTAAATATATATAAATCAATTAAAAAAATTTTGCTATCTGAATGAAAGTGAGCTAACACTTTTAAGCAGGATGCTATAAAATGTTTTTCAATGCTGTAAGTAAAAGTTATTATTATATAAACATTTTGTTAAGTAAAAACCCCAGTTGGTTTAACCAATCAGAAGTTGTGGACAATAATGATATTGATTAGTGTAGAAATACAGGAAACCTTCTATTTCTAGCAAGTACAACATTGAATTGGGTTACAGCATAGATTAGCAATTCACATTGGGCCAAAATGGGCTTTCTAAAGGACATTAGGATACTTTTAAGAGAAGGCACAATTCAGGAGCCAGGTATCCACACGCTTTAAAGGGTTTATGGAGCTCAGTCAACACCCTCATTAGGTGCACGGCTCTCAAGATCAAGCGCTTCCTCCATTCAGGATGGCAGTGTCCTAAATTTCTCAGCAGCTGACGCTGGGACTCTTGACAGGATAAGAAAGTAAGTAGATGATGCCAAATATAGACAAAATCTGTTGCTTTTGTCTTGGAAATTAGAAATTCTTTTGTGGCCACGTCCTGACCTAAATTTCTTCCAGAACCATTGGTTCAGGACATTCACAACACAGTTGGAATTATTCACTAGAGGATGATTTGATTTGCAGCAATACAGTCATTCATTTTCAGAAGGAGTTGGCAATTTTAATAAAGCACAAAGTTGAGCTTAATTTATGCAATTGTGCAGATAGATGTCACATGACCTGCCTCCTGATACAGTTGGTTACTGTAGTTAAGTTCAGGATCCTTACTGCAGAGACTTCTTGGTGCAAATTGTTATTTGCTGCATCTAAACCAACTCAAGGGGATGTTCTCTTTTCTAACCTAATTATTTTACTTTGCATTCGTTCGTTTTCAGAAATGCTGCGAGGTATGATTTATATCCAAAAACTGTAATTGGATTTCGTTTTCGAAAGACTAACAGGTAAGACCTTTGAAAGAGGGTGGTGATTTTCTATTTCCACACAAAACACAATGTGAACATTTATATAATTGCCAACATTATTTTATGGTGGTGTCTAGAAACAAATTCATCTTCACAAGCACTCCCTCTACACTACATCCATCTATTGTAGTTCAGGTCAGGGGCAACACACGACATGGGCATTTAAGGAGAAATCTAAATATGTAAACATTTCATTTGAATATGGGGTCATGGTGAGCACACACAAAAAATCCCTCTTAAAAAAATACCATACATCTACTCACTTTAAATACACACTTTAAGGCCATGAGGACCCAACAATTCTGAGTTTAGCCGCTTTTGAGCGATGTGAGCCTAGATTGGGCTGCTTGTGCTATTTTGTGTCTTCAAAAAGAGTGTACACAATAGTTTAGTTTTAAAGCAATAGTTCATGTAAATCTGAAAATTCTATGGTTTATTCACCCTAATGTTGCTTTACATCCGTATGCTGTTATTTTTTCCATAGAACACAAAAAGAGAATTTTTGAAGAATGTTTTTACAGCTCTTTTCCATGCATTAAAAATGATTTTCGTTAGTTGAAATAAAGCTGAAAAATAAAATATACATATTAGATGAACTTTAAAAAATGTAAACAAAAATGAGAAATGTTGCCTTGTCAGCAAACTAAATAACGTTCAAGTTGAAGTGCTAAAATTATGAAAACTAAAACTGAAATAAAACTAAATTTAAGCTAAATAGAATATTAAAAAAAATAACAAAAGCACATAACTAAAACTTAATCTAAACTTAAAATGAGAAACAGAAGGAAAAAAAAACAAATGTAAAATATGAATAAATATTATAATAGTATATAAATAATACAAAAATAACACTGGACAGTTTACACTTCATAAATTGCAAGTATTTTTGTCTGTTTTTGTATTTACTTTCTAGTTAAAATATCTTATTGAAATCTTACTTGAAGCAACACTAAATGAAATATTAAGACGACTTATTCATAGACAAGTGTATTTGTCTAAAATAATAATGATAATAAAAATTAATGCATCTAAATGTTTCCTTGAAAGCCATTAGAATTCCACTGGCGGTTTTCAGTGAACATAAATTTAATGGACATAAATTTTCAGCTCATATATGGCTTAAGAGGACTTCAGAGGCCACAAAATGTACAGACTACATTTAATTGTGCTTTTCATTATATATATTTTTTCACTATAAATTGTTTTTATACTGGAAAAAAAACTGTGTAAACATTATTCAAAATGTCTTTTTTGTGTTCTGTAAAAAAAAAAAAAAAAGAGTTTGGAACGACATGAGAGTGGTTAAATAAAGAGAGAGTGTTCTAGGTTAACAATCCCTTTAACAGGTGTAAACTCGTCTGAGTGTGTGTTGTTCAGACTAGGCTGCGTGTCCCGCTGGAGTACCTGCGTTGGCTAAGTAGGTGGCGTGGTGGTGGAGGGGTCGGGGGGCAAAACTGATGCGGGTGATGATAAGGAGGCGGCGGGGGAGGGAGGGGCGGCTGCTGCTGCTGCTGCTGCTGCTGCTGTTGCTGCTTGCCTCCCTCCCGTGACCTGGTGGGCGTGGAGACGGCCGATTGGATGAGGCGATGGGCGGGGTTGTGCCTGAGGAACGCCTCCACATGGCCACGCCCAGCAGAGTCCACGACGATCACCTTCACGATCTGCTGGCACTGGATCAGGGTGTCGGGGGAGATGGTGAGGGCGGAGCCAGGGGCGGGGCTAGGCAGGACGGCCAGGTGTTGCTGAGCGCTGGGTGGGGCCAGAGTAGAGCTGAGTTGGTACGTTTGGAGCCTGTTGTGAATTGACACCTAGTTTAGAAACAGCCAGAAGCAGGAAGCGTTATCAGCCTGGCCTGCTGCACTCTCACGTCCCTCTGGTGTGGAAACACATGACAAGGCCATGCCACAGAGCATGCAGGCGGCAAAAGACGGCACATCTACATACATACAGTGCGGTCGGAGTGGGTGAAAGCGGCATGTCAGAATTTCTCACAAAATATGATACATTTCATAGCAGTTTTGCTTTTGACAATTATGGTAAAGAAGTCATGTATGATCCCTTAATCAGCAGAAAAACTGCCACAAAGATATGATTCCTGTCTTCATCTCAGCAAGGGTAGAATTATTTCTTCAATTCTCAGCCAATTTTCACATATGAATGTTTCTGAAGACATTATTTCATGCCTAATCTTGATTTCAGTGTTAGAATTATGGCCAGTGACAAAAGAAAATGCAAACATGACCCAGATGTGTTCTGCTACACTTGTGGGAGATTTGCTATATCCAAACGGTGACAGAAAATTACAGATTTTGAGAAAAAAAAAATTTTTTTTTTTTTTGTGGCTTGCTTTGTAAAGTTCTTTGACATTAAATGGAGTATGTGAACATATTTTCCCACTCCGTTGAAGACTGTAATTAAAATTTTATTAAAAAATAAATAAATCTCATTTTGTAAAAACAACAACAGCAACAACAAAAAACTGTATATGATGGAAAGTGAAATTTGTTAAAAAAAATTATATTCAAAATTCAGTCTATTTTTGAATTTATCTAATAATATTTTTATAATATTATTTTAGAAAATATCTAATAATAATAATAGACTGTATCTTTAATATAAATTACAAAACTCAAAGTGTATTTTGTCTTACTGCAATGGCAGATTTTTTTCTTCCAAAAATTAATTTTCTTCTTTTATTTCTTCTTTTTTTAGTGAAAAACAAGTGCAAAAAATCTGCCAGAGCATGCAGGCAAAACACATCATGACTACATACATACAGTGCAGTCGGAGTGAGCGGTGAAAGCGAGCAACGCTGACTTCCTACTTAAACTACCGTGATTTGGATAATTAACTGCTATCTTATGCACTTCCTTTTATTACTGCGCTGCTAATCAGACTGTTATATTTTTATCCGTCTGTAAGAATCATTAAAGTGCCCCTCGAGGGCCTAGAAGCTTGGCAGCGAGGGTCCTTATTGCATGCTGGGCAATTTGCACCTTGTCTTGATAGACCTTGTTTGCATGTGTATACGTGTTATGTGTTTGGCATCTTGTGAAAGAGCATTCGTGTAGCCTGTCTGTCCACAGTAACCACAGCTCGGTCCTTTCATTTCGGCTCTTTTTAATGAAGTATTTGAATTTGAATGACTTCCAGTGCAAGAGCTATTGAAACTATTACAATGGTGTTTCTGGACGTGCATTGCAAATCTTATCTTTGTTATTCTACAAGCAATGACTTTTTTTTCTCTCTGGTAGGCAAGTGTATTTTGAAATGTACACTACCATTCAAATGTCTCTCATGCTCACCAAGACTGCATTTATTTGATCAAAAATACAGTAAAATTGTGAAATATTATTATAATTTAAAGTATATGTTTTCTATTTAAATATATTGTAAAATGTAATTTATTCCTGTGATGGCAGACGGAATTTTCAGCATCATTACTCCAGTCTTCAGTGTCACATGATCCTTCTAATATGCTGATTTGCTGCTCATGAAATATTTTTTATTATTATCAATGTTAAAATCAGCTGTGCTGCTTAATATTTTTGTGTAAACCCTGATACGTTTTTTTTTCTTGATTCTTCAATGAATAGAAAGTTCAAGAGAACAGCATTTATTTGAAATGGAAATCTTTAGAAACATTATAAATGTCTTTGCTGTCACTTTTGATCAATTGAATGCATCTCTACTTAATGAAAGTATTAATTATTTTTTTTACATTTTACTGACCCCAAATTTGAAACAATATTGTACATCTGAATGTAACAGGATATATATTTGGGCTTAATTAGTGCATGGCATCAATGTCTGCATTTCATTGCAATTCCAAAACATTAGCCACAACATTTCCTTTAAAGGCAAAGGCTGTATGTGTGAATGCGCTTATCAGTGTGTCTTACTTAAATACCCTGCCGACATCATTTCCACTAAAGATTTTGACATTTAAAGAACTTCACCACACAACAACAGCAGCTGTATGCAGCATTAAAACAGCAGCCAGCAAAAGCCCGAATGAGAGGCCATAGATTACAGATCACAGCGAGGGGTGGTGGATGGTGTTTTCTGGGGGGCGGCAGTGCTGTTATTGCTCTGCACCAGTGGTGTGTGATTGCAGTGAAGACACCGAGGGCGGGCGTCTCCATTCTGATGGACAACGGGGTCAGAGTGAGCTCAAAAGTCAAAGGGTAAAGGGCAGGGAGTTTGGGGTCGGTGTGGAGGTTATCTCTGATTCTGCAAGGAGATAGTGATGATAACTGAATAGACAATTAAAAACTACAATACGTGCTGTCACCACCTACAATGTTCCCCAAAAATGTGGAAACATTAAAGTATTATACAATTATCATTGAAGGTAATTTTCTTTTTTATTTGATTGATTGATTGACAGAACAACAGACCAAACAGAACACAGTTTAGAGATACTTTATAACCAGCTCTAAACCCCTTAAAATAAAGGTTCTTCATTGGCAGTGATGGTTCCATGAAGGCATCCTCTTTTGAAATTTTATTTTTAAGAGTGTTGTATTTTTCTATGCTTTGAATTTATTTATTTATTTACTTACTTACTTTATTTACTGATTTAAAGAAATAGCTTACCCAAAAATGAAAAAGTGCTCACCCTCAGGCCATATAAGATGTAGAGTTTGTTTCTTCATCAGAACAGATTTGGAGAAATGTAGCATTTCACCAATTGCTCACCAATGGATCCTCTGCAGTGAATGGGTGCCGTCAGAATGAGAGTCCAAACAGCTGATAAAAACATCACAATAATCCACAAGTAATCCACACCACTCCAGTCCATCAGTTAACATCTTGTGTAGGAAAAAGATGATTGTTTGAAATAAACAAATCCATCAAGACGTTTTTAACTTCAAACCGTCTGCTAAAATAGCTGGCATCCAGCCTAGATACGAGTTCCTTAGACACTATATTGCTTTCTCCATTGAAAATGTTGTCTCGTCTGAATCAGGAGAGAAATATGCACAGATCAAGCACTGTTTACAAGTGAAAACAGTCCAAAACATTTTTTTTTATTTGGATGTGAGGAACAACAGGGGATGGACTTTTTCACTGGAGGAAGCGTTATTATGGATTATGAACTCATATTTTGGCCAGCAATGGTTTGAAGATATGAAGGATTTGTTTCTTATAAACAGGCAACTTTTCACTTGAGAAGACATTAATTGCCGGACTGGAGTTGTGTGGATTACTTGTGGATTATTGGGATGTTTTTATCAGCTGTTTGGACTCTCATTCTGACGGCACCCATTCACTGCAGAGGATCCTTTGGTGAGCAAGTGATGGAATGCTACATTTCTCCAAATCTGTTCTGATGAACAAACAAACTCATCTACATCTTGGCTTGAGGGTGAGTACATTTTCAGCAAATTCTCATTTTTAGGTGAACTATTCCTTTAAAAAATATGCTTTCATACTTTGAGTTGTCCCTTATCATTGCAAAGACATCACTAAAAATTACAAAGGTTTATACTGATATGCAAAATCCCACTTTGCCTAGGGCATTCCCAAACTTTTGGAGGACACCGTACATACATGCACAGAGAATCTAAACATAATTTTGCACTGCACTCAGACCACGATTTATTGATACAAACCTCTACTGCATTGCTTCCCGTTTTCTCATAAATATCATCCCCTGCAAGCCACACAAATACACAAGACATCAAAAACAGGCTTATCGTTGTGTATAGCGCGTGTTTGTATGTGTGTGTGTGTGTGTGTGTGTACCTGAAGCAGAACTAAGTCCAGCGTGGATGTCTAGTTGTGTGTCGTTCTTGTTAGTTTGATTTCTCACAACCTGTTGTCTTTCTAGTTCCCCTGAGAACCACATACATAATTCACTTTAATGACAGCCACAACATTCCTCACAACCGTGGCATTCAAACCACTGGGGAATATAGAGAATTCATTACATTTCGAGCTAACCTTTAGGTAATGATAATGAGTTAAAATGTTAGAAATAATGTATAAATTATTTATAGTGCTAATAAACATCTTAAAATTTAGAAAACATGCACTGTTCTATTATATACAGTATTATTTTCCAATTATGTTAAACTGAAAAATCTTTGCATGTTGCTATGTGTTTGCTAGGGTGTTCTTTGTGGTTGCTAAGTGGTGACCTTGCTGGACCAGGTCAAAAGTCTCTAGATTTAATGCTAGTCTGTTTTTTTGTTTTTTTTGGTTTGACAGAACATGGACATCCAGAAACCCAGGGATTTTTTGTTAAATTCTAATTTTAAATAAATGTGACTATCACTACCCTAAAGCGTGTGAACATGAGTAAATGAGCACACAATAACATGCAAAGACACTCACACTCAATCCGTATTTGTTCCATCTCTGCCACCTCTGTGATGCTCTCTCTCAGGTCCTCTACAAACTTGAGCAGCTCCTCTGCGCTCTGAGAGCAGAAACTCACCACCTGCTTCTTCTCTGACGAGAACGGAGACAATATCGTGATTCCATGAGGGTAATCTGTGAAAGAAAACACACATCATATATGTATGACACTGCAAATATTAAACAAGGTTCTGCTCCGTAAGGTTCTGCTTTTTATTATTTAAAAAAGAAATCAAAATTTAAAAAAAAAGGTTGAAATCAAAAAAATAATTGTTGAAATGCATTATAATGTAATTACCTTTAAATATAATAAATATTTTCTTTTTGATTACATAAAAATGGCAGCATATTCACTTCATACTCGAGACATTTCTTTTTTTTGAAGATTATTTCATCAAAACAATCTTTATAGGTTCACTGATTGATTGTTTATATAGAGAGAATCAAAAACATTCATCGTAACCAATGTAGTCTAATTCACAAAGAAATTAAATTCTTCTGAGCTGGTTCTTTTTAGTGAATCAAAAACATACAGTATAGCGCAACCAGTAATCTAACTCTCGAACTACAGATTTTTTTAGTAAATCAAAAACATATAATGCCACCAGTGTAGTCCGATTCTTGAACTAATGAGTCTATTTTATTGAATCAAACACATACAGCGTAACTAGCTGTGACTAGACTTAAATCACTAACTGTTTGTTCATATGACAACATATGGTTGAAGATGTTAAAGATGCACATTACACATTTTGTCAGCAGTAATAAAATACTGCTGACAAAATGTGTAATGTGCTTCAATGTGCAAGATTAGATAGTTTAAAGGTGTCATAGGATGCCCATTTTCCACAAGTTGATATGTTTCTTCTCATTTTAGGGTGGTTGTGTACACACACTGCCAACACACATTTCAGTTCAAACAACTTGTAAAAGTGCATGTAGCATCCGATGACCCCTTTAAATTTAAACAGTTTTTGAAAACGGTCAATTTTACACCTTATATACAGTAGTTACTGTATATAAGTTGTAAATGAACCGTTTTCAAAAACTGTTTAAATTCAAACAATCTCATCTTTTGGCAATGTAATTGCACTTCTTTTTTTCCAAATATGAATTCCTTAAAACTGTTAAGATACTTGAATCATTGAGAAGAATCTCTAGTCATTTGCCTGTTTGTCTATAGCAACAGTTCAGGATAAGTTCAGTACTTAGTGTTAGAGGTTGTTCACGTGTGAGTGATCGTAATGCTGATCTTTGGCTTTGCAAGACCCACTAATAAATGTATTGTTGAGAAGCCAATTGTTCGGTCAGATATCTCACTGTCTCTAATCACCTTTTCACCAAGTGCAAACCGAACCGAAAGGTGATGCACTTTTCACATTTACATGACCTTTATGTATAATTGGTAGAGAACTGACTCACCGTCTTCATTCCCAGAATGCTTTGCTCCACCCTGGTAACATAAGTCACATGATCCTCGTTTGAGCGCAGCTCCCTCTGCTGAATCCGCTCATATATCCCGGCTAGCATCTCCCGTGGAATATCTGCCCCATCATCCACTCCTAAATGTGAATTTAGTTATTTATTACCTTTTAACATTTTAAATACTAATGCAAGAATAGATGAAGTCTTGAAAACTGTGTACAATGTTCTGGATTGCCTGTTCTGTAATAAGAATGAATCTTTTGTTAACAAGGACCAAAGTATATGGAGAAGCTATGGAAAGGCATGGAATCAAAATATTTTAAATAGGTAATAGTGACTTTTTATCTCAGAATTTGGCTATTTTTCTCACAATTGTGACTTCAATCTCATAATTCAGTTATTAATTGTGAAATCTTAACTGAGAATTCTGAGGGAAAAAATCTGAATGATAAAATCATAATTCTGACATTCTAGCAAACGTGAGTTATAAACTTCTCAGAATTGCGAGTTTATATCGCCATTGCAAGTTATTAATTTGCAAAATGTAAACTCAGAATTAAAATTAAATTAGAATTAAAGTCAAAACTATAAACTCACAATTCTGACTTTTAATCAGAATTATGAGTTTACATCTCGCAGTTGTGAGTGATTAACTGCGAAACAAACAACAGTATTAACTGCGAAATGTTAACTTAAAATTCGTAGAAAAAAGTCGATAAACTAAATTCAGAATTTTTTTCTCAGAATTACGAGTTTATTTCTCACAATTGTGAGTTATTCATTGTGAAATTTAAACTGAGAATTCGGAGGAAAAAAGTTTTTTCAGAATCGAAAGTTTTTTTAGCTTGAGGTAGTCAGAATTAAAGTCAGAATTAATAGTCAGAATAAAAAGTCAGACTTAAAAACTTTACGAGTTTATTACTTGCATTTGTGAGATATCAACTTGCAATTGCAAGAAAAAAGTCTGAATTGTGAGAGAAAAAGTTTAATATTTAAATTTTTATTCCGTGGAAAAAATAAGCTTCCATAAAAAGCAGAAGTGTCACTGTGTAATTTTTCTGAAGTGAGGATTTATTTGGCTTATGGAAAAGTCCCATCATAAACCAGAGCTCGACTAATAGCATGCTCTGATTTTGTTCCAATCCCCATGTCTTTTCATCTCACTTTAAAGTGCGGCTCTCTTATAGCATGTGTTTGTTATATCTGCGGAAAGTAGGCAACAGATCAAAAACTGTTTGATCAGAGACCAGGAATCGGTCCAAGAAACACACACACTCATACTGCCTACGCTCCTAGGAGATCAAAATGTCTCTTTTGATTGCAAATTTAAACATGAAGATGGAAAGTTGATTCAAACTGGCAATATTTAAAATCAAATATCCAATCTCTGACCTCAAAACACCAACAGGCCTCCGGTGTTAATTAACAACACGCATAAACACACCTCGTAGATTACGAATGAAGTCTTCCAGATGCATCTTGCGCTCTAGTTTGATGTTGGGACTGTACATGTCTGTGTTCAGCAGCACGATGGCGAAGGCCAGGATGAAGATGGTGTCTGGGTTATGAAACTGCTGCACCACGTCAGGGTTACACATACAATACCTCTGACTGAAAGAAAGTACAACATTAATGCACATTATAGTCAATGTTCTGCACCTAATGGATAAAATGACCATAGTTCATTTGGAAAATTGCATGTGTGTCTAGGAAATGACACTTCATTTCCAGCACTGTCGTGTATGATTCTCACCTGAATGCTTCAATGAGTCTCTCGACTTTTTGAGCTTCTCCTTGCACTCGCACATGAGCCTGAAACTTCCTCAAAGCTTCATCCAGCTCCAGCATGGAGAAATCCATCTCATCCACCACACAGCTGAGAGAGAGAGACCACATAAAACTCGTAAATGTGCTCGGTTTAAATTAAGAGCCCAATTTATGAGGCTCCAGCACTGTAAGAAATGAAAATGGGGTATTATTACCTTCAGTGGTTGGTTCTTAAATAAGAACCCCCAATCCTGAATATGTGGTTATATTCGTGCATTGGTTAATATAAGCTAATGCAGCCAGGTTAATTCAGTTATATTAACTCTAACTCTTTCGAAACAAGAATATAATTTTAGAATATGTTAATTAATACTTCAGTTTAATAATATTTCTGACAGTATTTTTACATTTAGATTTACATTGTATTGGCAGTCACAAATCTGGCTTATTTTTTTTGCATTGTCTTGATAATTCCTTATATGTGGCCCTGGACCACAAAACCAGTCATAAGGGTAAATTTTTCGAAATTGAGATGTATACATCATCTGAAAGATGAATAAATAAGCTTTCCATTGATGTATGGTTTGTTAGGATAGGACAATATTTGTCCGAGATACAACTATTTGAACATCTGGAATCTGAGGGTGCAAAAAAATCAAAATATTGAGAAAATCGCCTTTAAAGTTGTCCAAATGAAGTTCTTAGCGATGCATATTACTAATCAAAATTGAAGTTTTAATATATTTACAGTAGGAAATTTACAAAATATCTTCATGGAACATGATCTTTACTTAATATCCTAATGATTTTTGACATTAAAAAAAAGTAATAATTTTTACCCATACAATGTATTTTTGGCTGTTGCTACAAATATACCCCAGCGACTGTCAACTGTGTACATATGTTATTTGTTTATTGTTTATATTGTGTGTATATTTATTTATTAATTAAAGGGTTTATGTATTCATTATTATTAGTAGTATTTGTTTTAAAAGCGATAAACGATTAACAACATAAATATCATTTTATGTATGTGTTTATTTAATTAAAATATATTACTTTTTTTACTATATTTATAAATTTAGCAAAACATAAATGTATACTATATTTAACTATATTACATTTTGTCTGTTGTGTTTATATATTTATTTTATATTTATATTTTTTTATTATCCGTGTCTTGTTTTTGTTGTTGTTCCAGTGCATCGGAAGCTTCTTTTCTCACCAAGGAAAACATACTGTAACTATGCTGTAAATTCAACTATTATTATTTATTTTTTCAGGGCTTATTATAAATGTTTTATATGACTTAGATTTTTTGTCTCATCAGACAGAGGATGTGTAATTGTCTGCAAAATGACTATGATACAGAGAAAAGTAGAGTGCATAAAATTGTATGAAGACACAACTCACTCTAACACATCTCTGTTGAACTGCCTCTTGCTGTTACCCAGGAACTCTCCTATCATCTGTCGACTCAAACCCTTCCTCTGCAACAGGAAGTGAGCCACACCAATGGCTGTGTCTGGAATAAAGCCCCTGGAGATCAGGAACTGGATACCTTTGTCTGGATTTCTGCAGGAAGATCATGAAAGATGTAGGTAACTCATTTTTCTCAAGAAGCTAGAGATAACACTTACCAATGTTGCATTAATGTTGTTGTACATTTTCATATTTATTTATTCATTTATTGTACACTATCGATTTAAAGTTTGGAATCATTACGATTTTTTTTTTACTTAAAATTTTTTTGTTTTGTTTTGTTTTCAATTTGCATTCATTCTGGGCCTGTGAAAGTTATTATGAATTGTTTCTAGGAGTGCGTGTGCGCAGGGTCACGTGTATATGTGTGTTAAGAAAAATATTCATAGCTACAAACTTGCAGTATTTACATGCAGATTATTCTTTCCACGTTAGCTCACATCTTGTCAACATTCTGTTCCAGAGACACAATCGTCCATATGTGCATCACAATGTCTATATCAAAACAGGACTGAGCAGCTTATATTTATGTTTATGCTGACTACTCTTCAAAAGTCTGGGGTCAGTATTTTTTTTTTTTTTTAATTAATACTTTTATTCAGCAAGAATGCATTCAATTGATCAAAAGTGACAGTAATGACATTTATAATGTTACAAAAGATGTCTATTTCAAATACATTTTTTATTTTATTTTTATTCAGAATTCGGCTTTGCATCAGAGGAATAAATTTATATTAATAAAATATATATTATATCATTAATATATTTTATCATTTATATGAAAACAGAAAACTGTTGTTTTAAATAATAATATTTTACTGTTTTTCTGTCATTTCAGTCAAATAAATGCAGTCTTGGTGAGCAAAAGAGACCTACTGTACTTACCCCAATCATTGAAAGTACAACAGTCCATGGCATTTGAGACGTAAAATTAAGCCAATAATGACATTTAAACACCTTTCTCTTAAAGATTAAGATGAAATGTAGAAATTATATTTCATAGCCCACGAGTTTAGACAGTTAAACAAATTTATACAATTTGCCACTCAAAATTGCTACTAATTATGTAACGGTAATCACAGAAAACCACATATTAACCTTAAACCTATTTCTCTCAAAAAATAAATAAAAAATGAATGATTCACTCAGATCTTTGGGGCATGAAATCGTAAAGCTACAGAAGCGAAAGAGCCTGTTTAATCTGGAAAATTATCACTTAAAACCAAATTCCGATTTTTAGCACAAGATACTTTCAAACTTAATTTTTTAAGATACTTTCACTTTTTGACCCCAAACATGCTACACGCCACTTACTCTTTGTGAGCAAATAGCTGAAACACAAAATTCCCTCATACATCCTGACAGAAACCTTATAAAAGCATCAGTGTCCCTTAGTCACAGCCTGAGTAAAACCGTGTGTGTGTGAGTGGATCACCTGGTTACCTTGGCAACCTTGGTGCTACTCACGTCAAGCATGTCAAAGTGAATCTGATCTGAGATTTCAATTGAGTGCTGATGCACTCTGAAGCCTCTGACGATTGGCTTTATTCTCTCTCTGTGTGTGTGTGTGTGTGTGTGTGTGTGTGTGTGTGTGTGTGTGTGGTTGTCTGAAAGAGATACACACACAAAATGGAGCAGAGAAAGAGCTTCACAATCACCCCTGAGGGAGTATAATATAGTCTTCTTGAGTATTTGTGTGTGTATACGTGAGCAAGCGTGTGTATTTGTCAGAGTGTATCAGCAGGTATAATGAAAATGCACTCAACTTTTTAGTCATGGGCAAACTGACCCTGCAAACAAAAGCTCTTTTCTTTAGGATTAGTAATTTGAGCAATTCTATAATATGTTTGCTTGCTTGTTTGTAAGGCCTATAAAACCTTTAAAACATAAAGTTCTTTCAGAACTTTCAAACAAGGTTTTGATAAGCCAAAATTTAAAGTTTACCTTGACAAACTTTGCATTTCTAGTTAAATATGACAGTTATATTAATTTCTTCTAATCCCTTTATGAATCAGTTTTCCTCGTATGATAGTAAGATTTGCAGTATTCTTTTTTTTTTTGTAACTAAAACTACTGATTTTTTTTTCAGTAACTAAAATAAAATATAACTTACAAATTAGAAATGTTGCTTTGGCAACTAAATTCATTTTAAAGTACTAAAACTAAAACATAAAAATAAATTAAAGCTATATAGAAGTATATAAAAATTAATAAAACGTCAAAGCAACAAAAAAAGAAAGAAACTAAAATTAAAATTAAAATGACCACAATATTAAAATTACTAAAACTGAAATAAAAATAAAGCCATATAGAAATATGGCGGGGGGGGGATAAAATGTCAAAGCAACAAAAAATACTAAAAGTGAATCTAAAATTAAAATAATAACTTAAATTGAAAGCTAATTCAATTTTAAAGGGGTCATATGACGTTGCTAAAAAGAACATTATTTTGTGTATTTGGTGTAATGAAATGTGTTTATGCGGTTTAAGGTTCAAAAAACACATTATTTTCCACATACTGTACATTATTGTTTCTCCTCTATGCCCCGCCTTTCTGAAACATGTCGATTTTTACAAAGCTCATCGGTCTGAAAAAGTGAGGTGTGCTCTGATTGGCCAGCTATCCAGTGTGTTGTGATTGGCCGAATACCTCAAGCGTGTGACGGAAATGTTATGCCCCTTACCATACTGTGATGCCCTGTGTCCTGGCGCGACAAGACAAAAACAATAAAACCCAATATAAACGAGGCATTTGTTGCATCCAGTGGGGACACAATTACTGATTATAATGACTTATACTGTTTTATGCGTTGCGTCGCGTATCGTGCCGCGTAAACATAAAACCATGTCTGCATTTGTGATCGGAGAAATGACAAACAACAAGCGCTACTCCACACTGCCCAAAACTCGTGTTTGAATCATCAGTGGCAAATTCTTTAAATATAAAAAA